CGCACGCGATCTGCATTGCGTTTGGAGGCTGGAGCCATCTGGCAGTGAGCGATGGAGGCTGGCAACCGGGGAACAATAATCCCGGAGATGAGTTGAATATGTGCGGGGCTAAGCACTCTGGAGAGAGGACGAGGAATGGAATATGCTTCGCATCGGTGTCGCTCTATGTAAACTAACTGTAACTTATGAGATATTCGTCGTTTGAATTACTCGCATTTTCTTCGGCTACTCCTGCGCCGCGCCGCCGCGTGTCACAACGCCGCGCACCGGTTCGCGGAATGAGCGCCAGGCGGCGCCACGGTTGCCGCGGCTGACGGAAATGAAAAATTCCTCAAACAAATTCCAACATTCCGCGTAATGGAATGAAAATTTTGGTAATTTATTACTGTTTCAAGTATCAAAGTTTTTCGGGTGGGTGCTCGATGCCCCAAGGGTTGTGGTTCGACAGAGGGCAGTGGAGGTTAGGTGTCGTGGAGCGCCAGGGAGTGCTATAAAGCGACCTATATGTAATATGTATGTATCAAAGTTTCATACCTAGGTATTATCTTCCGGAAGAAATAGGTGCCGTCACCCAACACGTTGGTGCACACCATGTTCTCCTCCACCTTCCTTGGAAGGATCAATTATTGATGGATAAAAGATGCTTTGGTTGCTCCTTACACGCCAGGAGTTACTAGCCAGCACAATCGCAGGTGCGTGTAGTGAAATCAGTACCCTTAATTGGGTTTGGTTGGGATAGGCAACTAAACTAACTGCGTGACAAGGCGGAAGGTATCGCCAGGATTTGAAGGCGCTCCAAGCCGTGGGCAGGCTTTCGAAGTTCTTTACCAATGAAACCTTTACTACGTCGCTACAATCAATAAGTCAATACAATCGTATTTTTCAAAGAACGTTGCCTCGGTGTAAACTACACAAGGAAACGTAGCGTTTTGACAGTCTTTTGTATTTGCCTCTGTGTTGAAAGTGTTGGATGTCAAGAAAATTCTGAAACAGCTGACGAAAATCGTTCAATGGTTGGCCCCTTCGGAAACGGTTGAAAGTGAGACAACCACGGTGGCCGTTGGGCGATGTGTCCGGTAGTGAATTTGCGGGCGCAGGCGGGTAGGCGGCTGTAATTGGCCTCTTTAATGTCGCACATCTTTGCTTTGTGGACCTACACGAGTCGCGGATCGAGCAAGCCCGACTATATCCGAGCAAAATATTTTTATGAACAATTCTAGAAATGCTTTTGTCTCGTGGCTCCATCCTCCATCCATCTGTGATTCATTCATCAGAAACAAAGACCTACCCAGTAAGTCATGCCTGTTTCCCTTCGTTTTTTTCCGCATTATCCAGTCCATTGATCTAGCCGAGTAAAGATCTCTAAAAAATCATAAAGTGAATAATCACTTAAGCACCATTCGTAAAAACACTGAAAAGTCCGGAATTCTTTTTGAAAATTTTACTTATCAGTTATCACCTTGCGACTCACATATCTACGATCAAATCCATGAGCAATTAACGTTAATGTAAGATACCCTCGCGACTCTAATGTAAGATGGTTCCTCGTTCAATCCTTTGAATCCTCTTGAGAATCGACTCATTCATTCTTGATCACGATGAGACAACTCCTCTTACGTAAACAAAGAACCACCAGATTCAACGCAGATCTAGACTCCTGAAATCTGGGTGGAGGGAACTCCGGAAGGGATTATTTCCGCATCCGCCCACCTCTGTCAAAACCGCAGAAGGGCGGCGAGAGCCTAATTATCACGGTTCTTCGCTTTGCACTCGAGAAGTGATCTATTTTTCGAGTATAACGATATTATCTTCCCTGACAATCATCAAAAAAACGTTTTTCCTCGGCAAACAAAAGGCTTCGCAACGCGGGTTCTTACCAGAGCTCCGCCCTCTGCCCTCCCCCGCTCCAGACGATAGGTGAAAAAGGATGAATGATCGGTCGCCGAGATCCTATGGGTGTCTTTTTCTCACCTGCGCGTGTTTCTAAAAACGATAAAGTGAGAGAGATGAGCCCTGCTGCACCTCTACCTCTTATCATGCGCAGTGATGTCAATTTATGGACATGCTACTCATTTTAGTGAAAATGTGAGTAAAAATACGGATGATTTTTGGGGGAAATCCCAGTGTACCTCAAATCGTGCAGCTGTAATGGTTCAGTTGCGCTGATCATAGAATTGTGTTTTGACGTTTGATTCTTGTGGATCGGCCAAAAATAATAAGATTCATCCAAACAGCAACTCTACGTCTAATATTAATCGAGATATTGTGCTTTGAAAAATGCGTTTAATGACGTTACCCAAGGCGGTAGTGACACCTTCGGTTTCTTGCACAGAACGACAAACGTTGGCCCCGAAGTCTCTCGCCAGAAAAACTCTTTCATAATATTTCGAGACCGTAAATTGTTTCTCTTAAACATTTTGTCGAGGTTTTTGTTTGGAAGCAGGTACCTAAAATGACGCCGAAGTGATACTACTTCGAGTTTGATAGTTTTACTTCAGTTTATGGTAATGAATTGTTCGACAAAACACGATCAGAAGATTTTCTTATTGCCTATGCTCTTTGGCAGCGCTGTTGAAGCTACCCAGATCCGCCCCTAGATCAGCCCTTATCCTGATTTGCTTCTAGTTTCTGATAGAAATTCATCGCAACGCTGCCCTCAAACCAGACCCGATCCCCGAACGGCATGTGCACGGATGAAAGCGACCAGCCGGCAGATGCTGAAGTGTCCTACCCCGCAATCAAAAGGCCCGAGGCTGGGGGAGGAGGATGGGGAGGGGGTGGCCCCCGAGAAGTGTTAGGGCGCCAGCCGGCAGCTGGACCGGCCACAATACGGCCAGACGCTGATCGGAATAATTTTCGGCTGCGGTGTCCACCTGTACACAATGGAATGCGAGTGTCGGGCCCGCGACCGCTCATGCAGTGACATTGAGCCGCGAAGACGAATAAGGCTGTGACCCACAGATCGCTTGAACATGCATGCTGCTGTCCTGAATTTAAGTTGCCGCGCTGTAATCCGGCCGTTTAAAGCTCAAGTCCATTTTCGATAAGGTTGCGTTAACGCGGGAAAAAGTGGAAGGAGGAATGTCGACTTTTAGGTCACTTAACATGGGGCAAAAGCTGTTTCAAGCTCTCGTTTATCGCTCACTTTTGGCTGGTAAATAAAAACTCGTAATCGCAATGTCCCTGAATGCTCGTGCCCATAGCCTGTTTTTTTTCTTCTTTTTTGTCCACAAGAGACAAAAATAAGAAAAAATAAGGGTGACGTAACTCAACTGAACATTTGGCCACAACCAGGCATACTCATTTTCCGGGTGGTGATCTCTGCATCTGCAACCCATTTTCCACCCTTTCGTTCTTCTGAAATCGTTCGGTGTCTAATTTTAAACCGCAGATGTGGATAGACTTCGTACCATGTTCTTTTTTAGACATTTCTTCAGTCACGCGCTACTGGCCGGTAGATAGGCAGAGCCTTTTACACGTGTCTCAAAAGGCATAATAAAGTTAAACAAAGCAACAATACAAATCGTCCCTACCCAATCGGAACCTAAACTTCGCGTACTTTCGTGCTTGAATTCTAAGAGACATACGGGAGGCCAGGACTCCTCGCCGGGGGGCGGTGGGAGAGGAGGGGGTCAGGCCCACAGACCATATATCCTGTTAATGATTATTAAGTTGATGGAAGGTGGATGTTGGACGGTGGACGCGTGCTCCTCGATTCCAGGACTGATAACACCGGAACTTGCGATGGTGGTCGTGCATATTATTTGATTGCATATTCTTAAAAACTGTGTCCGTATGAGTCTCGATGTGAGGGTGTGAGTGTGTGTGTGTAGCCGAGCGTCACACGCTGGCAACCAGCCGGGCACAATCTTGTCGGCCCAGAGTTGTGCGATTTCATGTTCATGAGAGTGAACGCTGTGTTGTATCGAACAAAACCCCAAAACACCATTTTTAAGTGTATTGACCATAAGACTTATTATAGTTTATTGCCTCCTAAGATATTAAGCTTACCCGCACACGGTTTGAGCGAAACGCTACTTCGGCATGATTTCATTCCGGTGAAATTTCAAGTAGGCGGAAAGACATTTACTGAAGGAAAGATCTGCAATGATCTCATCCAGAAAAGTCAAAAAAAAAAAAATTGATCGCGCTATACGAACGAGGAAAGGGCTACCAGCTATCATTTTCTCACTCAGAATATTACCGTATATATACCAGAATAAACCGTATTAAACCCGCTCTTGGAGCTCAGGACTTTTTAGAATGTCCTGAAACCACCTCGCTAAAAAAGTTACCAGGAAAATGTTCCCAGGGGAAAATTGCCCCCCCCTCCTCTTCATCCCCAGGGTCGGATTTACCGTATAAGCGCACCAAACGCGCGCCTAGAGGCCCGCACCAACAGGCATCACAAAATTTTCTTCCATGATGTCCCAGCTAAACCTGAGTCGTTCCCTTCCGCGGTGCTCCCCGGGTTGCAACCTGAAAAGAGAGAATGNGGGGGGGGGGGGGGGTGTCAACTTTTCTATACCTATAATAATCCTCGTAAGACCTTAACCAACAGAGAGAGCTGAGAGCTTCTCTTCCACAGAGATTTTCAAGTCTTTGAAGGGACCGATATGACCGATCCTTTCGAAAGTATGTCCCTGCCAATATTGATTTTTAAGTCTACACGGGAAAAAAATGGATTGCTGATTTAAAATTAAATTGTTAAAAAAATATGTCCGACATATTTCAAATGTACATTTTACAATAGTGGAAAGCTAATTTAGCTACGAGGGTTGTTAAATTAACATTTTTTAATTGTAAAATCTACATCGAAACATGCCAGACACATTTTTTAACAATCTAATTGTAAAATCAGCAATCCATTTTTTCCGTGTATATACGCTTGTCATATATTGTTGGGTAGAAACTGCACGTCGGGTAGAAATTTTACAACCGCGGGTGCGACACTGGTGAGCTGCTGCTCGGAGGAGGTCGCTGCAGACGGCTCTGTTGTTGAGTGTCAGTCTGTAAACAGCTGTCGATCCGCGCGGCTGTGCTCGCCCCTTCGCCTTTCCTCTCGTGGGTCGCGTCAGTGTTGCGTCGACGTCCCCCAGGGTCTGCTCTTTCATCCTCGGTCTCATCCCTCGAGTGCTACTCCACTCTCAAGTGTATCCTAGTGCGAGTTTTCGGCGCCGTCTAACGTCTAACGTCCCGCAGACCTCTAGTGAAGTTTATTCTACGTCGTTTCTAGTCTCTTCCGCCAGTTTCGCAACTGGTCGAAAATTTGGTGGCATTTCAGGCAAAATTTTCGAGGCCAAGTTTCACAAAATTGTTGAGCTACAATTTTTTAGTTGTCGCTTGCTGCAAGATGTTTTGAGGTCGGTGTGCGCCCTTATCGCGGCTGTAAAGTTTACTAATCGATAAAATTATCGCGCAATAACTGATAAATAGGTGAAAATTTTCCATGCAGCTGTCATTTGACTACGTTTGAATTGTTAAATACACTACGGTCCGAGATAAAGTCTGGGTGCGGTTCCGCTTTTTGCCTTTCTTTCGGAGTGCTTGTAATACTTGCACGCATTCGAGTGCCGAACTTTTAAACTGAAACTGACTCGAAAGTTTTGGAGGAGCATCCTAAGGATAACAGTGTTGGTTCCCGGTTTCATATAGTGATTTTTGCTAATCGAAAAGCAATCGATTGTATTACGTCTTCGTACCTCAGTTTCCAGTCACGATCAAAAAAAATATCACGCGCTTAGTGCTTTTTTAACGCCTTTTTGTGTTTATCTAGTCAATAGTTGGTGTAAAGTACATCAACCTGTCGTGAGAGTTGATCAAAGTCTTCCAATAAAATATACGCTAATTGCAGTACATACAATTAACTGAGATTAAGTGTGCGTTCCCTTAAGTTTTATTGCAAATCTCATATAACCGTGCGTTAAAGTCTTTTTCTCTAGACCACTCTCTTTGTGCTGGAATTTGAATTCAAGTGCGGCTATAGAGAATCTATTTTCGTTTCCAATTTGTACACTTTGACATCGGTTTTATACGAGTGGAAAATCAGTTTGAAACACCTGGAAATCGCAACCGAGCTGAGCTTTTAAAAGTTTGTCTTTTCTGCTAAACCACCCTCTTTTGTGTCGGCTCCGTTGACAATCAGTGCGGCGATTTAAGTGCGAGTGCGATACTTTAAATCGGTGATCCGAGTATCGAGTTGGAGTGTTTCCCGGCGAAGGCGATGAGTCGTCGGTACGCGGGAATCCTCGTAGTCGGTGCGTGAGCGGCGTGAAAGTTTCGGGCGATCGAGCTGGATTAGCTGGAAAAGTGGACGGCGTTTGGCAGCGGGCCGGGTGGCGCTGCGGCTTTGGCTTGGTCGGCGGAGGAGATATTACAGATGGAGCTCATGTCGCGAATAAAGAGCATCACCGCTAACAACTCAATTAGGATGAGCAAAACTGCAAACGGCAAGGTAACCGTTACTTTACTTTCGGATTTATCGGCTCCTGCATCGCCCAGTTCTCACGAGTGCGCCGCGTCGGGCCGCGTCCCCGTCGTCCGTCCCCGGCCGTGGGACGCGCCGCGCTTGCTCTCGTGCAGTCGTGTCCGGGTCCCGGAGTCCCTCGTCTTCCCCGACTCAGGCCCTGACGGCTGATTATAGACATCCATAGACAAAGTTGTAGACTTAAGACGGATAAGGGAAAATGGAGCGATCATATTGATGGAAGCGGGTGGTTGCCATAGACGACAGAAGACAAGTATAAGGTGAATTAACTCTGCCGCGCTAAGGAAAAACGCCGCATGAATATTCAAGAGTTGCCAAATTCTCAGAAAACAGTTATTTTTGAAGAACGCTATGAATATTCATCCTTGAAATTTTCAGGAACTTGAGGGGAAATTGCCAGAAAAATTTAAGGAAAAATATTTACAAATTTTCCCGAAAATTTGTGGTTTATCAAAGGAAATGTTGCAACACCTGAAGGTTCATACGGCGTTTTTCCTTAGAACGGCAGTGAATACAAAGGATGGATATAGGAAAATGGAGCGATCGTATTGATGGGAGCGGGTGTTTTCAATAGACGAAAGAAGACAAGTATTAGACTAACTCTGCCGTGCCAGCTAGGGAACCAGTACAAATGTGTGCCTCACTAATTGATGAATCCAAATGGAAGAAACCACGGTGGATGACGTCATAACTCGTACCCCGTGTTTTTCGTAGTTTTTCGATACGTCCATTAACATTTGGCGCAGGAACTTTAAGCGTTTGACAGATCTTAATATTGCTTGCCGCTTCACTACTTTTAATCACCATAACGCTATTTTATAAGCTTTTTTAAACGCTTTTTTCAGTGCTGGTGCAATCGACCGATTGCAAGGGGCACGGTACGTGATTCCCGGTATTGTAAGGGGAGGGTGTTCGGAATTCCAACCCACCTCCCCATTTTACGCGTAAAATGGCACACGTGTTCACTCTTATGCAAATCGAGCTGGTAGAAAAATTGCGAGCTCACAGCTTTGACCTTGAGTTTGAACCGGTGCGATGGATCGCGCCTCGAACTGCGATACTTTCCCCGCGAACAGTGCTATCTATCGTTGTGGACGTATACGTTTCGAAGCGCCGTTGCTGCGATGGGGGCGGAGGAGGAATTTGGACTCGCGCTGCTGATTGTAATCGCGCAAAAACGGATATTATATCGCGCATTAGGCCGTTGCGGAAAATGAACGAACTCACACCAGCATTACCTCTGGGAGGAAGTTCACGGTTGCCAAATGTCACAGCTCCCTTCTCGCTAATTCATGATAGTATGTTGTTGTAAAACGCCAGGGTACCTCTCCTCTGCAATGGTTTGGAACTAGAAGACTGTTCAATAAAATAAAAAATTAGTTATTGAATAATGGAGACCGGAAAAACCATGCCCTTTACTTTTTCTTCCTCTTCCTCTCCTCAAAATTCAAATTCAAGAAAATGAGCCGTATTTTTATCATGTTGGGGAATAAGAATTTCGACAGTCCGAGAAAACAAGATGCTCTGTTTCAGGCTATCTCTGTCCCTATCAAGAAATTTTGGTGCTTTTTTCGAGAGCTTGTCAGCAGTGAGAGACCTCTCAAATCTAGTTTAATTTGCAGTTTTTTTTTTTTTTTTTTTTTTTAAAATTAGGGGCTTCCAACTCTCGGAAAATTTCACACTACGCATATCTCGATCAATTTTTAAGTTTGAGAGCCCAGTATGCCCCCTTCACCTCCCCCCCCCCCCCCCACCACAAAAAAACCTTTTTCCGCCTTGAATTTCACGAATGAATTCCTCGTTTAATTTTCTGAAAATATGATTCGATTGAGTTGATCCGGTAGCAATCCATGCACTTGATCCCTGGGGGATTTGGAGACCACGTCTGGATCTACGGCAACACCGAAATGGCGCGCCACACAATTGGAAATAAAGAGTTGTATTCGCAGAGCTAACGCGCACCACTCTGCCAGTAATTAATTCATGGTTTGTTAATTCCTGTTCGCTGCAAGCCCCCAGTCCCTTCCACCTCCCCCTCGCCGAGCAGCGAGCCTTATCACTCATTCACACGCACAGCAAAAAAATGTGGCGAGGCCTCCCGCGACTCTGTGGCCCATCTTCCGATGCAAGATTTTTAACTGTGAGAAGTTCACACCAATTAAAATTCCGCAAATTCCGGTCCACCCCCTCGTAACACACATTCCTCGTCGGAAATCCGTTCCGACGGAGGATTCACGCTTGCACTCGCGGATACCGCGTGTTGGAAGTAGGGAACTCTGCCGTGATTTCCATGACGCCCGGTCGCAATCCGTTTGTTTGGTACGAGTTGAGCGACGTGAAAGACTGCGAGCATATCCGTGTCAGTCTCATTCAAACTGATGAAATTAAAAAATCAACGCAATGATAGCTATGCACACAAGGACGGAACTGCTAACTGACTGCGCCCATTGGCGGACCCAGCAAATTGGCAACACTGTTCTTCTGCATTTGAACCTATGTTAAATAATCGATTCTTGGAGGGGCCAGATGCCCCTCCAAGAATCGATTATTTAACATAGGTTTAAATGGAGAGAATCCATTGTTGCCAAATTGCTGGATCCACCCCTGAGTGCGCCCCCGAGGGCGACGCTATCGGAAGCATTAAAAGCTACGTTTCTCGTCGGAGAACTGAAGAGGTAACTTAAGTCTCATAGGATAACGGACGCGGATCATTTACTAATATTAACTAATTACTAAGCGTTCAGCCGTTTGTCGAACTAGTAATTTAGGTACATCATTAACCGGAGATTCGGGGTTGTGAATACTTCTAAGGAAGTTTCGTAACATCAAATAATACAGCTGCTACGTATCCACTTAAACTCTCTTTCAGCTTATGGTAAAATGTTTGAATACGTCAAAGAACGTCAATCAGTCTCGCTTTTGTTGCTAATGTCGCGTTTTTTATTATTTCATAAGTCATCGTTATGGTTTGATCACAGAAAGATTGCAAGATTATCCCCAAAAGATACATGATTTGTCACGAAAAAGAGAGGAAATATTTTTCGAAAGTTTGGAAGCTTTTTTCCGCTGATCTTTTGCCTGACAAATTATTAAGTTTTTTTTTTTTTTTTTTTTTCTGAGCGAACTTTCACCAATCTGAATTTTCTGTTTGTAGGAAAGTTTAATGACTCAGCGCATGTTGAGTGAAATAACTTCTTAAAATTCCCGTCATAAACTGATGCAAGTGTTTATTGTTTTGTTTTAGATCCCAGAAGCTACAGAGAATGATATCATGAGCTCAATTGTCTTTTGCATACATCATAAAGAGGGCTGCAAATGGAGTGACCAACTACGAAGACTGAAGGTGTGTTACAATTCTATTCCCTTTATACATTTTGAACGAGTAAAAAGAGAAACTATGTGCGGTCAATGCGGTCATGCTATATGCATTTTGGCAGCATGAGATCTCTCTGAACTCACGTTGTATCTCATCATTTTAATTTCCAGCTCTTTCTTTCCACACAAACTGTAAGCTTTCCTTGAGGTAATTTTGTAATAAGGCGATAGGATACCTCAATCAACTTTTCCAGCATCAATTAATATTAATTAAGTAATTGATAAACTTAGGAACGGCTGAATAGGAAACACCTAGATTTGTATTACCTACTGAGGATTTCCGAAAAAAAAGTAATCACTTTATTAAGTGTTAGACAAAAGTGAGAGTAAAAAAGCTCAGCTATTATTGTTGCACTCTCATTGTCAGTAATTACTGGCAGCAGATTCAATTGTTTAACATCGTGGAACGATTAAAATTGGTCATTTTATCCGACGTTTAGAGGCTGCAATTTGGAATCGCTCAAAAGCGCCTTCAAATTTTGCTTATGCAATTTCCCGACCAAAGTAGTCGAATAGTTGCCTAACCGCCCAGTGGAAAACATGCGAGAGGTCTGATTGCCTCCATTTGAACTCGCGTACACACCGTACGTTCTCTTTCATTCCTTTTAACCTCTTTCGAATCATCTATCTTACCCGAAAGAAGGGAGTATCATTACGCTTTGATATTCAGCAAGAGGCGAACAGAGCAGAACTAGGATTCAATTTGAAAGCCCTCATTTGCTTTTCTTTAACATACACGATACAATATCCAATACTTCCTTCAATTGCTAACAGTTCCCATAGCCTGCACGTAGGAGGCGACTCGGATCTGAATTTGACAAAATTCTGCGCGAGGCTTATGTGATATCATTCTTAGTTTTTGGCCCCGCCAGTTCGCTAGTTTTCCTTACCCTGCGTTAAAGTCACCGAAGATTTCTACTGACTTCCGATGGTGCTACACCAACAGTATGTTTTTTGAGCTCGTATGCCAACACCATTGGTTTTAAACATAGATAAACATGCTCTCCACACCCTCTTCCCCTCCTCTTCTATTGAAATTAGGAAAACAAGCCAATTTTTGCTAATTGACTCATGATGGTCCCCGGTTTCATATTTGGGAGCGTTCATAAATTTCGTAACGCACTTTTCCGACCCCCCTCCCTCTTTTTAACGCTCTGTAACGCAAATCTGGATCTCCCCTTAATAATTACGCAACGCTTGTCAGACCCTCCCCGTTAAGATCCCAAAAATTGGGGGAAACTGTTGACTACATTACTGCATAAAATTTGACATGGTTTTAATAATTATGTGACAAATAACATCAAAGGAATTAGGATAGTGCATTTTGGATTTTTTACCAATAAAGAGGGTTATGTAACGCTGCCACTGGCCTCGCTCCCTTCTATGACGCAGCATAACGCTGGCTCATACCCCCTCTCTCCCCTCCATAGAGCGTTACTCAGTTTATGAACGCTCCCCTCTGTAAACCTCAAACGTCAAAATTTTTGATGAGAAGTAATTTAGCGCAAGTACAAGCTCGATTATTCATCATATAAGGGCCTTGACAACAGTGGCTTCGATGGTTTTTTTTAAAAGATTTCAAGTTGAAATATGGCTGAAACAAGACCAATCCACACAGGTCAGTCATTGCGCATCTTTTTGAAATCCACTCCCCCGCCCGGCCCTAACTCGCATCACTCAATGCTCCGTCACAATGGGTGCTCCCATAAGAAATACATTGCAGGCACTCAATACTACGTCACTGCGCAGTAGAGTTCTAAAACTCGTCCCCGGGAATGACTGACCTGTGTGGATTGGTCTCGGGCTGAAATTTGACTGTATGTTATCGCGTTGTTATTTTTTCAGGGACACCTGCAAACATGCAAGCATGACGCAACGCCGTGCACGAACCTCTGCGGGGCGCAGATCCCGCGGGTGCTGATGGAGGACCACCTCAAGTACACGTGCCCGCTGCGGCGGACGCGGTGCGAGTTCTGCGGGCAGGACCTCTCCGGCTCGGACATGGAGAGCCACTCCGGGTGCTGTCCACTGGAGCCCATCTACTGCGAGAACAAGTGCGGGCACAAGCTCCAGCGGCGGCAGCTGGCCAAGCACAAGACCAACGAGTGCACCAAGCGGCTCGTCTCTTGCCGCTACTGTCTCCTCCAGTACGTGGCCGACACGCTGCCTACCCACCAGGCCAAGTGCTCCCGCGCCCCCGTGCCCTGCCCCAACAGGTGCGAGCTCACCAGCCTCCCTCGGGAGGAGCTCGAGTCCCACCTCAAGGATCACTGCGGCTCCATGCTCAACGCCTGCCCCTTCAAGGAAGCCGGCTGCAGATTTAAGGTAAGGCTTCTACCCCGCCTTCCGTCTTCTTTACTGCCGTACGAAGGAAGAACACCGTATGAGCCATCAGGCGTTGCCGAATTACCTTCGATAAAACACGAATTTCCTGGTAAACTTTTGAATATTTTCTATGCAATTTTTTGGATAATTTTGTTCGCAATTTTGCCAAAAGCTCCTGAAAATTTCAGGGAAAATCTAAATAACTTCCCTCAAAAATAAACGTTTCATCGAAGAAAATTTGGCAACTCTCGAATGTTTATACGGCGTTCTTCCTTAGCACGGCAGTTTAGACAAAACCTACATCCTAAAACGCAGTAATGCGGCAACACGTCTATCTCAGAGGATTTCAAGTAGATATGTTTCATAAACTACCCCGAGTCAGACTTATCAGCCTGAATCAGCCAGACTCAGGGTAGTTTTATGAAACACGGCCTGACGTCAGGCTGACTCGCTTTTACTATGCGGCAACACGTCTACCTCAGAGGATTTCAAGTAGACATATGTTTCATGAGTTCTCACTCAGAGCTCATGAAACTTACCGGCTATATGCTTCACGACTCTTGATTTTCTATTTTGCAGCCATTCCTCGAATTAATCCACCGACTAAGGTCTAATTCCGAAATCGCTCAAAAAGTTGAGTCCCCCCCCCCCTCCTAGCCGCAGTGTGCCCAGGGTAAATTCACCGTACGGCAACGTTCCTTCTCTTAAAAAAGGGCGGTGAGCTCATACAATGTTGCCAGAGGATGTCTCTACTAAGCAAGAAAAGAACCAGAAGAAGAGAGAGATTGGGCAAGCAAATTTCAGAATGTCTTTAAGCTACCTACATCAAACTTAACTTTCTCTAGGCTCAAATTTGTTGTCCCTAAAAAGAGGCGAGAATGCCTGTCAGACGTTTTTTTCATAATTTGTGATCTGAACTTTCGTTACCTACCTCCCTGGCTTTTATTAGTACCAATTTTATAATTGTGTTTTCCTCTCTTTCAGGGACTGAGAGGTGCTAGTTTGGAAAGGCATTTGGAAGAAAGCAGTCAACAACATCTGGTCTTGATGTGCACAGTTGTGTCCAGGCAGCAGAACCAAATTACTTCCCTCAAAAATGCTCTCATCAAAATGTCTATCAATTACTCAGGTGTGTGTCTTCAATTATTTTCATAAACATGTTTAATAGTCATTGTTAAAATTGAGATTTAGCTCACTGTAATACAATACTAGTTGTAAAAGCAAGAGGAAAAAAAAGCTTGTGGATGAAAGGAGCATCTAGCTTTACCCTCTGTCCCTCTGACTCATTTATGGATATCCTCAGATTTTTGTTATGGGGAGCACAGAAGACTACAATTAAGAATTACTCAGGGCTCTTCTTAATGTGATGAGAGAATTCCAAGAGCTTCATGGAGCTTGGTTTTTTCTTAATTTCTTAAGTTTCAGGAGCAGATTTGATCAAGGCGTACATACCGCTTTTTACAGTAATGAATTATTTTATTTGCCTGCCCAAATTCAAAAATTTAATTTTATTTTTTCTCTGTTATTACAGGAACTTTAATTTGGAAAGTAACTGATTTTACTGCCAAATTAGCAGAAGCTCGTAGTAAGGATGGCATGGAATTAATAAGCCCACCATTTTACACAAGTCAATTCGGCTACAAATTGCAGGCATCATTATTCCTGAATGGAAATGGAACTGGAGAAAACAGTCATGTTTCCATCTACATCAAAATTCTCCCTGGGGACTATGACGCCCTTTTAAGGTGGCCATTTGCTCACTCCGTTGCATTCACACTGTTTGATCAATCAGAAAAAGTAAGTTTAAATGGAACATGAATTAAAAGTGAACTTTTTTACTGCATGCATAAGTATTCGGTTATTGGACTCTTTCATCCACCAAATTCGCAAAGTTTCAAGAATACAGAGATGACAAGAGTTTGTGATAGGAATTCAAGATTTTGTAATGTAAATTGGATGGAGGAAAATGACCTTGATATTGGATGAAAAGTAAATGTACCAGACTAAAAAATTAACTTTGAATAGTTTTGATTCTAATTCAGAAAGTAAAATCAAAATGAGGAGAGGATATTTGAAGTAAATTAAATGATAAGTAAATTTGGTAAGGTTGGTGCAAGGAATGGAGGAGGAGATCAGAAGGTATCATTTGCCGGATAATCTATGGGAAGATCGATTCCAATGGCAATTGGTAGTTGCAGAGCGCTCTAGAGTGCTACGGTAGCGGCTTAATCTATATATAAATTAAATTGTCTGAATTTAATCACCAAAACTCACAAATAAATTTAGATGAGCTAAAGCTGCAAAGTTGATGTTTCTCATAATTTGATCAACATTTTATTTGCCTTAAATTTCACTTCCTTTGAAAATATTCTTTTCTATGGTCTCTTTTACTGAGTTCTATTTTATTTGCCTTAAATTTCACTTCCTTTGAAAATATTCTTTTCTATGGTCTCTTTTACTGAGTTCTATTTTTGCAACATGCATGTAGGTTTAAAAATAATTATAGAACGAAACATTGCAGGTGAAATGAGAATGTGCAAGTGCATTACAGCACTGAATATTTTGCTGATATGCCCTTACAATTACATATGTGACCGTCGGATTCTAATCTTTATACATAATTATAATCCTACTTTATATACTGAAAAAAAGGAGAAGTTTATTCACTTGAATGTGTGTTGTTCAGTGTTTTAGCGATAAATTTGCAAAAATTAAAAGATTAAAGCAACAGAAGCTGACCAGACTTTTCTATTTGTTTCAGGCATGCAACATAGTTGAAAGCTTTGTGCCGGATCCAACATGGGAAAATTTTCAAAGGCCAAGTAAGGAACCTGACTCCTTAGGATTTGGTTTCCCAAGATTCGTCTCCCACGAAACTCTCAAAAAACGACAGTACATCAAAGATGACACGATGTATGTTCGTATCAAAGTTGATCCAAGTAAAATTGTTGCTGTTTAGATTCTTCATTTTCTTCTGCTGTATATTCTGATCTCAGACATTTTGTCATGCTCTCCTACCAATGTGAATTTTTATGTGTGTTTCTGCTGAAAAAGCATAATGAACGGCTCCAATCAATTTGTTATCCTCGTTTAGCCCTTATTTAAACAGGGAAACATTTTGTCTTACTTCAATTCCAGAATTACTTAATGAAATAAGGATAAGTAAAAAGAACTTTTGATATAGTATGCCTATGATAAAATGTTCAAATAAGATTTGGAGCCTTGATACCGAAATTTTTCAAACATTAGATTATTATCTTCTCCACAAAAATTCGGCGCCAATAAATATCAATTCATGATTCAAAGCCCCCTACAAACTCTGAATTTTTTTTCAAAACTCGGTCATTTTAATTGCTCTGTCAATAAGAATTATAATCTGAAAACATTAGATGCGATGAATTTATTTTATAATTTATTCTGGCCAGGCATTAAATTAGCAAAAATTTAGCTGAAGGTCCTGATATTTAAGGCGTTGAATCTTTTGTACAATCATGTCTTTCATTACCTAGTTATGTTATCATACCGATTTTAGAATAAGATGTTTGTAAAGTTATTGTAAGGCCCCTTTCTCAGCAGTTTTTGTTTTTCTGAGACCCTTAAGGAGTCCAGAAAGTATAGGCATTTCCACGACTGAAATATGTACCTTAAGAGAGCAGTTTAAAAACAATTAAATTCTAACAGAGCTGAAGAGTGTTGATTGTAAACCGTTAGTCACTTTCCTTCTACTTTCAGCTATTCATGATTACCTCTTCTTGATTCTCTAGTTTCCTTCAAAGTATTCTAAAAAAGTTAAAACTGTGTCTCCAAACTTAACGGGTACCATGTATACCTCTGTATGAGCAGAAACCATGTTCATTTGTTTTTAAATCAAATATTAAACAAACCATTGTAATATTTTGTGTCAACCTCTTATGAATACATTGGCAGAACTTGTGGAAAAATTCATAGAGAAACTTCATACAGGGGGTAACACTAGATCCCAGTTATTATCATTCTCCGTTAAAAATGTATCTGGAGATACATGTACCTTTTGAAAATAAACCATCATTTGAGTGTAGGGTTGAGAGGTAAGAACTGAACAATCTCTCCCCAGTCTTCTCTCCTTGAAATGACCTCCCCTCTACAAACCAAAGAATCTGTTAACTTTTGATTAATCAATTGTAAATGAATATAAAATTACTCCCTTTCACAATAATTTCTCCGATGCAATTATATCACTCTATTTCTGACAAGTATTTGTTTACTTTTCATGAAAAGAATTGCTATATTGATTGTCAGGGTTAGTGATCACTCTTTTAAATAGTTGTTTGGCTAAGTTCAAGTTTGTAAATATTCCTTTTGAATTGTTCAAATTAATAAATGTGATAAAAATTTATTCAGGTCTTTCAGTTTCTAATCTAAACATGAACACCTTCCTTAAGTTGGTAAGATGAAAGTTGTGCAATAATTCTACCATTTTTTGAAAACATTTATTCAACAAGTTTGTTTAAAAATATAAAGACATATTCAGGGTAAACTATTCATGAAAAATGAATGATTGAGAATTGTTGGATTGAAAACCCCCAGAGAAATGAAGGGTCGCCAAACAATCCAGTAAAATAAGATGGTATCACACTTTCATATCAGGCACAACACATGAGTTTAGTATCACTTTTTGATAAAATATCGATGGTGAAATTCCCAAACAACGCAGCTTGGTTTGCAATATTGTAGACTTCTTGTTATACTTCATTTTTTAAGTGGAGAACTACTCCACATCAATTCTTGAAAACTTCCATGGTTTGTCTTCTCTGTTCAAAGAAATTCCGAAAAAACTTCAAGGAATCACACTGATTTGCTCTTATTAAAAAAAATACAGTAGAGAAGGAGATAATTAAACATCGCAAACGACTGAAGTGGTTTGGGCTTTTGACCATCAATCATGCCATGACCATGGCATGCCATGCTTCAGACCATTTCTATCATGTTTGAAAATGCTACATCTGTTAATTTCAATCATGATACTTTAGCAGCACAGACACCCACCTCCAATAACGCCACATTTGTTTCTTTAATACTGGCCATTTAAAAAGGCGTTCCATATTTTCCTAGTTGAAAGATATTGTCTCTGAATTCATTGAGCAAACGAAGAGGAGGCACGATTCTGAGATTGGGAATTGTCTTCACCATCTGAGTCTTGATCCTGAAAAACATAATTAAGATTAAAATCTCCAAAGGCCAAATGAAACTTACGGAAGTCATTTCAATGATTTCTTTCCCTCTGTAAAACTTTTACAGTACCATGGCTTTGAAGATAGAGGAGCCAATCCTTACACAGGAGTAAGATGAATAAAATCCAAATTAACTATTTGTCCTTTATTTGCATCTAAATATCATTAAATCTCAGTTCGCTCAGTTCAATTATTGCTCAGCTCTACCATTAAATATTGTTTTGCAAAAAACGTTGAAGTCCATTTTTCCATTTTAATTTTTTTTTGCGTTAATCATACTTTTCAATAGTTGATACGGTCATAAAAAGGGTGCAAGGACTCGTTTAAGTATTAGCATAACCTTAATAAGTGTGTTATAACCACGTTAAAGGTTGCATTTAACTCTGAAAAGTATTATCAACCCAAAACAACTCAAGACTAGAAAAATGAACATTTGCAGTTTTTGCACGACACCATTCAATTATTACATTATTTAAAGTAATGATAGAGGCTTCACAGAACATTTAATGATGTTACTTCTGGTAGAGGGAATCAAGAAAACAGACCGAATTCAGTGCCTGTATATCTGTCACTGCAAAGTGAGAGCTCAAGCTTAAAGAAGTCTATCTGAATTTGATTTCTTCACTCATCCAGGTTCTCAGATACAAGGGTCAATAAAGATTTAAAATTCGAAAAATATTGATCCAGAGCTTGAAATACCTAGGGATCTGAGTGGTCAAAATGTTAAATTGAGCTGATAGAATCTTTCGGCAAAAATACTTATAAAAATTCCATGTCATAAAATAATATTAAGTTTGTAAAAAGAGGAGCTGACAGTTACTTATTGCATTAAGTCATACGCACAGATACATCAAACCCCCTATTTTCTGTTGCAACATGATCTCATCGAGACTTGCTTCCCTTCTGCATACTGCCCCGCCTGCATACATATTTATAAGAATCTCTGCAGCCAATAGCATGAAGCAAACTTTTACATTTTTCAATCCATGACTGAGAATTGATACCTCTTGCTGTTAACTTAGACATGAAACTTTAAATGTTCCCTCTTACTTTTTCTAAACTGGAAATGATGTTGAGCGAATCAGGCAGCAGCGGTCTCACGGAATTGATTTCTAATTGTGTTAGATGATCTAACTGGGCGATTCCAGTATCACTCTTGATAAATTTGTTGATGGAGGCCTTCAGTTTGGACATTCTCAAGTCCCAGATGTCCTGTTGGCAAAGAGATGATATTTCAAAGGTTTCAGGAAATGTTAAAAATTGAGGTCATTTTGTTACTTTGAATTTTCCTCCCTCACGAATAGAGTTCTTGCATGTGATGGGGATTTGTAATTTGATGATATATGTACTTCTGCGTAAATTTTTAAAAAAAGCATACTGGTGCCATTCATTGTCGAAAGTCCATTCCCTCGCAAACAGCAGTAAAGTTATGGCTCTAATGGAAAAGTTAGCTTGTTTTGTGAGGTGATTAGCCTCTCTCCTCAAAATAACTCTTCGTGCACTGATCAGATAAAGAGCTGAATCTGTTGCGGATCGTTAGGGTACCCACCAAGTTCCAAAATGATAATTTATAGCCAACAGTCATCACAACTCTGCTGATGTACTCAACCTGATCCCTCCACAGAAATTTTGATGGATAGAGATGGACAGAGCATGTTCGTTCCACTCATACAATTTTAACCTTTGGTTTTTTTAGCTTCAACGATTTTTTTGTAAAAAAAACTAGTGGCACCACTGCATCATGATTCTTGCAAAATTTTACATAATTTTTAATTATTAGTTAAATAAAAAATCCCTGATGTGTGCGAGAATTCCATCATCAATTTTTATTTTTGCAGGAATTGGTAGAATTTATAGTAAGTATTAAAGGATAATTGTTACCGATTTCAGATGTCCATTTTCGTATCATTCAGTTGAATATTTCATTTTCAAAGTTTTCAAATCCGTTCATTAGTGAGAGGGATCAATTATTACATGAAATTCAAGATTATCTTCATAATGATACATTTATACACTGCTAAAAATTAATAATTCTCAGTGACTCATCACTCATCTCTAAAAAAAACTTGATTTTCCATCATAATGTCACTACAAGAACGAGAACTTTCAAAACTTCTGACTAGTGTTAAACGCTAAAATCAAACCAAAAATGAAGGAAATTTGAAGATACAGAATATTTCCTGTGGCATTGGGTTTGCTGTAACTCCTGTCTTCCCTTTGGTTAATTTGGGATGGGGTTTACTTTGTAGTGTATTTTACAGATAAGTGAAAAAAATTTTGCAACCTGCATTTTCACAGCACCCTAAACGAATCATTAAAATAGGTTTTGAGATTGAAAAAACCATTAAAAGAGTGAAAACTGATGAAAATCCTTTCTAATATACTTGTAAGGAGTAAAAGATGATAATGGATAAGATTAACGTTGTACTTACTTTTAGAACTGTGCGAATCTCATCTATCTTTTGGATTTCATCACCAGCTGTCTCAAACAGCATTCTTGAAACTTCCATGTAATGTTCATTTGGCATCTTTGTGAAAAATCTGCGAAGAAGAAGACCAATGTTTGAACAAATAAGTAAATCCAGACTCCAGAGAGAGAGGAAAAATAAATAAAAATTAAGAGTTCATAATTTCAACACAACTCTCTTACTTTTGAGATAAGAAACCTGCTGCTGTCAACAACCTTATAGCCCAATGATATATGGCTAGCCACTTTGCCTGAGCTTGCCCATGAAAATCATTGAACTCATGGAGAAGTACAATCCCACTCTTCTATACAATCACTGGTCCAGAAACTTTGAATACAAATGATAGGTATGGAAAAAAGCAGCTCTTTGGAGATGGAACTCATCCAGTCACCATGCTTCGGTGTCTTCAAATATCATTGAATCAGATTTAACACAGGACTAACCTATCATTTTGTACACAAGAGTTTTAGCCTACATACAAATGGAAAAGAAGACAATGGAGCTTATACCCACAAGGGCAATACTTACTCGCTTTGTTTTTCATTTTCTTTCCTCTCCTCCAAAGTCTCCACATTCATCCACTCTGGTACAACTATGTTGCATTTTTGCCGCTGTTTCAAGTTGATGGCCAACCAAATAGGAACACGAACAGGGATGCCTGACCGAAATGGACCGATGTCTCCAGATATTAAATGAATGGTGTGATTCAGGTTGAATTTGGGAATGATCGATATAAGTTGCTTTTCAGCGAGGAATTCTATTTCAGCAGGATCCATTTTGATTCAACTGTAATTTTTATACAAATTATTTGTTAGGTACAATCGATCAATAAGACTGAAATGCTTTTCAGAATCTATTTTTCTACTCAATAGTGAAGAGCCAATAAATAGAAAATAAAAAAAAAAGTGAAAATCAAAGGATTCAGCGCCAGCTAAATTCCCTTATTATTTTATGTGATGATCAGTAGACAAAAAAAGCAGGATCTGTGAGCAAGTCAAAAGTAACTATTGTGTGACAAAAGTGACTATTCTTAAAACTACTCTGATGGATGCTAACAGGCAAATTCCTGAGTCACTATAACGTGTCTTGAGATTCCTTCCTGACCTAATCTTTATGAGGTTGTCATTCTCTCTCAAGAAGCCCCCTTTCTTTCCTGCTTGAAGTGGAATATTGTCTTTCTTGTTTTATCGCTCTTTTCATTGTGAAGCGTCTCTTGTATTGATGTAAATTTCAGTGACGTAAACAAACCAAAAGAAAAAAAATTCTCAAAGTAGAGGCAGAGGTGATTGCATGGTCTACATTTAGAAATGAGCGCCTCTAGTTATTCTATATAGAATTTGGATTTCATTGGGCTTGCCTTCCAAGTCATTTAAATATATGCAAATTTTAGACTTTGTACAACTGCACTTAGAGCTTCTATCATTAATGCATTAGTACTAGAAACTATTCACACTCAGTTTCGCCCAGACCTCTCCTCTTCCTAACGGAGGCTCGCTAAGTTTGTAAGTCGGCATCAGACCAGGTTTTACCCTACAGCATGTTCAAGGCTGATCTAAATACTGCAATTTGGGGCTACCTCTGGATATTCAGTCCTTACTATTGCTACAATTTTGTCACTCCATCTTCTCTTTCTCCTTCTGACATCTTCAGCTTCAATCGTGTTGAAGCTGTAGTTTCCCATCTCAGCTGGAGTAAAGGAGGACAACAAGCCAAACTATAACTGTAGTGCTTCTACTGGAATTGCAAAGATGGATTTTACAAAGTTAACAAAAAAATTGATATTACTTACCTTTGAAGACCTAGAGATGTTTGATTCTAATAGCTATGTTCAACATGCAAGATAGGAGCAATTAATGTTGCAAAAAAGAATGAGTTAAGTTAAAATGCAGTGGGTAAACAGGCTAGCTCACAGTTAATTAATAATAATTTTCTGCGTACACTCACATTTGAACAATTTTGCCCTAATTTAAAAGAGGAGTTATATTGAAAACCATGCCTTTAGGACAATGATTATAACCTCACTGTGCTGTGATTGTTTACATTTGGCGCGAACTGATAAGGCGCAAGTTTGTTATTTGTGCTTTTGTAGAAAGCACCAACTCTCTACATTTTGGTCAAATAAAAAAGTCAATTTAAAAAAAGGCCCCTGGTAGTCTCACGTAAAATAAAAATTTTGATATTTAAAAAACTAGTATTCAAGAATTTTCGGGATTTTATCTCTTAAATTTTGAAATTTACGTCGATTCTACTCCTGTAGGGGATTCGATTTGAGTTGGTATGCTTGAAATTAGTTCAAAAGGTTTTCTTTAGATAGCGCTTTTCCACGTTGATAATGGATGATTATAGTTTGTTTACGAAGACAATGTGCTTTTGCTTTTGCTGAATGCTTTGCTTCCCTCTTCACACCAATAAGTTTTTTTTATTCATCTGCAAGGCATTCTCGTTGGTAAGTCATTGCGAACTCGTGTACGTAATTATATTTTTATTCAACGCGTACCACTTTGCAAAATTGGTACATGTCAGTGGTCGCATGAGGATCCCTATCCGTGGATGAGATGCGGTTTACTCTTTTCTCTCAATTTCCATACTCCTGTTCTAGCTTCATATTTTTTATATTTGTATTTAATCTATCTGTACAGAAAGGCGGATACGTCGTGATTTGCTCTTACACTAGATTTCAAAATGCTGATCCTTCAGCTGGGAATCTGCAGATCTGTCAAAGTAAATAGCAAAATAAGCCGCATTGATAGCCTAACGAATATTGAACCATTAATATCGAAAGATTCCGGAAGTTGGCAAGATGACTGGAAATCGCACGAGCGTTACCATGAGAGGAAAGAAACTCTTCTTATCACTCTCTAGTAATTACAGATTTGCGAAAAGAGCAAATTTTAATATTAATAATTTCTCTTCACAGTCTCTCAAATTAAGCAAAGGAAAAAGTAATTGAAGACTTTTTGCAGGCTAACCTAGGTACTCTTTTTGTAGGACCTCTAGAGCATAATGAATCTAACGTCATTTCTAAGGCAAGGGGGTTGACTTTCCTTATAATTTGTTTGAATGGCCAATAAATTGAGGTCTGCCACATTTTGAGCCATTCATATTTTTAGCTCATTCACTAATCGACAATATATTCCTTTTTTCAGCCAGAGTTTCTACTTATTTGATTAAATTTCCACCGATAAAGATACATCAGTCAATCATTGGAAATGGCACTCGACTTGGAAACCCTTAATGGACAAGTAAGTATTATTCTTCACAAAGCCACTTTTCTTTGGTACCTAGTGCACTCACATCAGCAACTACTAACTTTTGAAAAGAGTTCAAAATAGTTTTTTTGTCTTCAGTGTATACGCTGAAACTTGTGATATTTTTTCCACTAGCTCCTCGCAGCTGATTTACTTTGTCTCTGCAATGAGGAAACAACAAGTACCAAATCCGGTAGAGAAGAATGACTCAGTTAAGACTGAGCGAAGGGGGGAAAAATGAAAAGTAGCTCTCTGAAATCAGATTTTAATTTTAATTTATTTTCTGCATTATTTTTGAGTTTATAATGAAAAATTCCGGGATTCCCAAAATATTTTCGTTCTCAACTTACGATCCTCTGATTAGGATTAGTTCAACCGCCTCTTGCAACTTAACAATTGTATGTCTGCTCAGAGTTTTTAACTGAAATGTAAGTGATTCTTTCTGTTAACATTCCAGATCTCATCAATGAGAGGCTCTGTAAAGCAAGTCAAAACTCATTTGATAAACAAGTTGACTCGTGAAGCCAAGAAATTGCGCGAGAAGAAAGGAACAGAGGAGCAAAAAAAACAGAATCAAAAGAAGGCAGATCGTTTCATCGAAGAAGTCATGCTTATGAAGGTAACTAACCTCCACTCCAGAAATGTACCAGGGTGACACAGACTAATTTTTCTCTTTTCTAATGAATTTAACTTCTCAAACTTGAACGAAAGAGGCACCATGTTGGGCTGTCGTAAATTAAAGCTATGTCTGATTATAACCAGTTTCTCTGAGGAATAAATTTATATCCCCCTCATGTAAAACCATAGCGTTTAATATCAACAGTGAAACTCTCAAACCTTTTATCTCGATTTGCAATGTTGCAGTCTTCCTACCATACTTTATTTTTGAAATGGAAAATGGCTCAACATCAATCTTTTAAAATTTCCGTGATTTTTCTTCTCTGTGTGAAGAAAATTTTATGAAAACTTCAAGGCATGATGTTGATTTGTTCTCCTTCAAAAAAGTAAAATGGGAGCAGAAATATTTAAAAAGTGCACACAAGACACCTGGTCTGGGAATTTCATATCGATACTTTTTATATTCAAGGAAGCAGAATCTTACTGATAGGCCACTAGGCAAGGTGCGAAGGATAGCATTATAATACATATTTTCTCATCAAAATATCATGCGAAACATGCTTTGTGCAACTAAAATCATTGAGAGAACGTCTTAACCAAGGTATTAATGTTTTTCATTATATAAACTCAATTCCTCTGGCACTTTCGTATATTACTGTCTCTCGTAGTATGCTATAATATTCTGTTTTGTTACAGAAAATTTTACCAGATGATGTCTCAAAATTTGTTTTGAAAACAGAAAATTGTGAAAGTGTTATCAGTAAGGTAAGGATATTTAAAGCTACATTCTCTACAGGTATTGATAAGTATTTTCCTCCATCAGCACAGTTAGTTATAACTTTGTCAAAAAAATTAATTGATCCTCACAAAGGCGAGAAGCTTTTTATTTAAAACTTAAAATTAGTGGAAGGCATGGGATGATTTTTGAATTTTAAGAAATTTCTAGAGGTAGGCAATTTACAAAAAACCGTATGTTAACTAAAACAGGTCGAAAGTTCAGGTTTGTAGACTAGTAGGAATGTATCACTAATTGTATTTCAGGAATTGTGTCTCAAAATCTGCATTTAAGCATTTCAAATATTATGAGTCTAAAGAGCTCAGTGGAGTAGTGTTCAGCAAAGCAAAACTTATTCTTTGGAGGGATGAGATCTGTATTGAGATCTGTCAGCAGGCTCTCTACTAGTCTGTAAAGTAATATTATCTACTAAATTTTTGAGGGCTGTCTGGAAGTGCTGAAAAGGTATGGAAACTCTGTAAGAAGGTCCAAAATTTTTCATCTCGTGCTATGCATGTTTCTGAAGATAAACTGGAAAGTACGCAATCCCTTGCTTATTGATTCGAAGTGCAGTATTTGCCAACTGCATCACAAGTGTGCAGCCAGTTGATGCTATGCCCTCTTTTGGCACGATTTGTGCGTGGATTTTGAATTATTAATATTTTTCGAATTTCATCGTATGAAGGCACTGAAAAAGTATTGAATTTTTAATTTAGGAGGAACCGAATTTTTGGGAAAGTGCTGTAAAAGATACGTGCAGAAAAGCCCGATCGAGTTTCTTCGTGTATAACTAGTTAGGCAGCAGCCACCCGTCGGTTTTTTTTTTTTTTTGGTCTTCAAATTTTTAGGGGGAGTTTTTTAGGATTGGGCCGGCTAATAGAATAATTTTTTGCCAGCTAGTGTTAGCAGGCACCTGGTTGACATAATTCTTGGAAATTCCGGAAATGAAACTTTAGGGTCCAAAATTGTATTTTTCCTAAATTGCAGTATTTGTAGGTTGATTTCTTTCAGCAATCACACCCAATGGAACTGACCTTTGAACTAAAATATTTAATTTTCTTTTTTTTCCTCCAAAAATTAACATTCTTGAGTGCGGTTTGAGAATAATAGATGAGTGTTCCTAACGGTGTGTATAACCTGTCAGCAAAAGTTAGAAAAACAAGGTGGAGGTTATCAGAAACATTTTTCCTGTACTTTTAAGCATTTTCAATTTTTAAAAATAATAATGAGGTCACTATACGATTGACCGAGTTTAACAGAAAAGCAGCATCAAGTTTAAACTGAGAAAAAGAGGTTTGAAGTTTTATTCCTCCACAAGACTCTATGTCATAGACAGAGCAAATTCCTGACGTCTATCTTGATGTCTATTTCTATGTTAAAAATATTTTTGCTCACAATTGAAGTTTTGACTGAAGAAAATTTGTGATATGGTGAATTTAAAACTACTCTTAACTCATTTTATTCTAAAATATGACTTGGTGCATCCATGTTTATAAGTAAAAGTTAATCAGTACTTGGCAGGGCTCATGTCAAAATTAAATAATATCTTTATGTCAGAGAAGGACCATATGTATGATGGCAATGATTATAAAAGTTTGAGACGTGTATCAATTAAACATCGAAGCAAAATCCAAAATGCAGAACCAAGACTGACAGCAAATTGAATCCGAGATGGTTTGAAATCAGCCTTCTCAGTAATCAGTATAATTACAGAAATAATACTAAAATAATATTGCAAATCGTATTTAGTTACGGAAATTGCCCTCTAAATAGAGGCTACGGAAATCTGTCGTGTATTTCTTTGAGTTAGTGTTGATTTTAAAAATCCTTTGAATCTCATCATGACATTTCAGAATTTGCTTGATATTTGTGGTTACTACTTCTTATTATCAGCCCACTCCTTACTGATTCTATCGATTTTTTCTCTTTGTTTACAGCCAAATATACCCCTTGAGACCAAAGTTCTGGCTAGATTTGGTACTCATAAAATCCTGGTTTCTGTCATTGACAAATTTCGTTCGGAACATCCATCATGGAAAGAAGTCATGGAGGATCTGGTCCAGAAGGTTGTGAGTAGACCAAAACAGACCATCTCTGCTCAGAACACTTCTGTCAAGTGTAGTGTAATAAGGACCCCAGGGAACAACATTTTCTCTGTCACCCCTGTGAAGCACATTGCAAGTGATAATTCCCATCATAATCAGTCCCCAAAAAATAAGCAAAGCACACCAATTTCTACTAAAGGTAAAAAAAGTGTTTTGACAGATCAAGTGAATCCGAAATTTAAAGAAAGTGGCCAGGGAAAAATTCCTTCAAAGATAAGCAGTGTTGACAGCTCCCTGAAACCTACAAATCTACCCAATTCCAGCGGTAAGGAGACTAGTAAACGTAAAAGTTTTATGGACTCCTCCTCTGATGAAGATCTAGAGAGTGGGAATAGTGATGAATTTGATCGAGAGACATTTCAGAAAGCTTTCAAGCGGCAAAAATCTGAAGACGAAAGTGAGGATAGTGAAGAAAGTGGTGAAGAGGAAGAAAGTAGTGAGGACAGTATGGGAGAGAATGGGGGAGGTGTTGCAGAAGATAGTGATGAAGGAAACAGTGACGAAGAAAGTTATGAAGAGGAGAGTGATTCAGATAATGAAAATGGAAGTATTGGAGGACAATCTTTGAAGAATCCACTGAAGGGAAACAAAACTGGTGCTACCAAAATTTCAGGCTTGTCTAGTACATTTTCGAAGAAGGATGAATCCAAAGATAGTGCTACTTCGCTTGAAAAAACTACAAAATCCAAATTAAATGAAGAACTTGATGATGTAGAACGCCGACTTAAAAAGGGTAAAATGAGTAAATCCAACTCCAATAACAAGGATACTGTAGAAGAATCTGTTGATCCATTCTTCATCACAACTGATGGCAAGGAATACATCAGCAGTGCTCCAGCCCCAAAAAATGAAGAGAAACCTTATCCAAGTAATTTTCCTCAAAATAATTCAGCTCCAAAGGACATTTATCGAAAAGGTAAAAAAATTACTCCCTCCCATGGTCCTCACAGGAATTTCAATGACGGAAATAATCGAGGTCGCTTTGGAAGTTATCAAAATAGAAACAATGATAGAAATAATCAGAGAGACTTTGGTGATAATGGGGACAGAAGAGATGCATTCTTTAAAAATGATAGAAAGTCGTTCAACAAGAACAACAGAGGAAACTTCAGTCATAATAATAGAGGAAACTTTTCGAATGTTAATGATAAGAGAAATTCTTTCAATAATAATAATAAATATGAAAATTCTGACGGTAGTCGAAAGGGAAATTTCTCAAATTATAATGACAGGAGGAACTCATTCAATAAGAATGATGGTAGGAGTTTTAACGGTAACAATAGAGGAAAACCTTACAATTACAATGACAGAAAGAGTGGGCCTGGCAGCAACTTTAATTCAAAAGATAGATTTAACAGCCACAAGCAAGGGCCAAAGTTTGACTCCAACAGGCAAAGCTCTGGAAATAGTGACCACTTGCATCCATCCTGGGAAGCCAAGAAAAAAATGTCAACACTTGCCCCTTTCCAAGGTATTAAAACTGTGTTCAATGATTAGAAACCACTATTTGTAGAGATACTGCTGTGATTTTTACCTGTAATTGTTGAGCAGATTTATTTGAAATTAAATAAATGTTCCTTCTCTTTTTTAAATATTCTTTTTTTTTAACGTGACTCTCAAATCATTACATTTCTAATTTTTTTCATAAAATTTTAAAAAACAATTTTGCCTATTATGCAGTATGTCTATCTGCTCGTGGCGAATAAAAAAAGGTTCTTATGAACTCAGAGTAGTTGTTGAAATATCTTTTATATTATTGTAATGAAATTACGCTAATCTTGTTTTCTAGATGATGTGCGTACGCAAAACTTCATGTAAAAGTTAGTTGCGTCTTTTTGGCTGAATGAAACATCAAAATGAAAGATGCCATAAAGTAATGTGAATCAAGGGGGAGAGGGGGAGATTTTAATCAGGTACTCAATAATAAATATAGTGTATCCTGTCCTGTAATTTATGCATAACCCTTAAGAAACAATTATTACAGTACAGTGGGAAAAAAAAAACCAAAAAATTACAATAAAGGTTTCATTACGTTTGGTTGGTAATATAGATATTGAGATTGAAATTAACAATTCACCGTTTTTTTTTTTTTTTTTTTTTTTTTTTTTTTTACTATTATTATTTCAAGGCAAACAAAAACTTATCAGAAATAGGCCAATTTAACCATTAATAAAGTAATACAAACATATTCAAACAAAAATCTAGTAAGATACAATTAATCGTTGGTCTGTAATACAAATAAGGAACTGGAAACAGGGTGTCTGCAGGTCTGGAAAACCGGGAAAACCGGGAAAAATCAGGGAATTTAAAACCGGGAAAAGTCAGGGAATTCGATCGAAAACCGGTGAAAGTCAGGGAATTTTCGCAATTCGAACATTTCGCGGCTATTTTTGCTCGTCACTGCCGAATTGGCCGAGTAGCTCGCTTGCGTGGCTGATAATGTAAACTGCTCTGTTCAACCAGTTTGCAACACGGCCGCTAGGTTCACTAATGTGTGTTCCCTAACTTTAAAGATCGAATCGATCTGCCCTATTTAATTTATCTACTTAATTCATGCTAAATGGCAAGATAGACTAAATAGACTTGAATGAAGTTAACTTGCTAACAGCAGAAAATTACAGTAAATAATGATAGGAAACTAAGTGCCCTAGTTTTGAGCAGATGGTTAATCAATTTTTTCAATAAGTTAGGAAATTTAATGAAAAGGCTAGAATTTTAGTTTTTCTTTAACTGAGTAAAGAAATATTTAATGTCAACCGCATTTTGCATGAAATTTTTCTGGTTCTTAAATCAACATGTTCACAACTGGTGCATCCACCTTGTAGAAATATTATTGGTGGATTATATTCTAACAAGCCAATGCTTGTTGAGTATAAGACAAATTCAATACCAACAATAGGTTCTGGAATCCATTGAATTAATTGACCTAAAAAAAAAAAACAAAAAAAAATCCCGAATCAAGCAAATTTATCTAAAATCGAGAAGAGACTCGTATTTCCTCTTGATTATAGCAAAATCTACCTGAGTTAGGCACATTTACAACTCTTGTTTTCTATTTTAAGAAAAAGAAACTTGTATTTTCAGGGCACTGAGTAATATGCCAATATTTATGGAATCACCAGGGTGAACTATAGTTTGAATTTTCAAAAGTATACGGGGCAATGTGTCACAAAGAGAGCGTAGTAGAGCTTAAAAATTAAATTTTGAAGGTGAATTTTAGTTTGAGTATACCATTTTGGAATTAGCTTTATTTTGAGTATTTAGGATCTCGTTCCTTTCAAAAGTATTACTCAACTCCTCCCAACGCCATGGTAATTCAGAATATGACTTTACGGGGTTATTCCTAAGGATAGTTTTTTTTTAAAAAATTTCTAACTAGTTCATCGTATGGCTAAACCCAAAAAGTCAGGGAATTTTGTTATTTTTTGTCATGGAAAACCTGGAATTGTCAGGGAATTTCATTTTGAAAATCGTGTAGACACCCTGTGGAAAGCTTTGACAATTATCTACCCATTATTTGAAGCATTCATAGAAGTTCTGAGCTTTAAGTGGACGAGCAAACATTATTTCTCATTTAACACAAAGTAAATTCTTCAACAAGTGTTCACTGACAATGTGGGGGAGGAATTAACAATAAAGACCAAAGGCATCTAATGTGTTGGTATTTTTATCAATTATGGCAAAAGAATAGTTATTTATCATACACCCTTTCTTTACCTTCGATTTGTTTTAATTTAATTGTGGTTCCTTCAGATTTGAATAGAACGTAGGGATCGTCGTAGCCAAAAATATATCTTCCATACAAAATGAACTGTTTATCTTCAACTTCACAAATGGTTTCTTTTGTTGGGCAAATAGTACCACCTCGCATTTGAACCTTTCCAGTGCTTTTGACAGGTGGGGCATTGTAGGTGAAATAAATCAACAATTTTATTAGATCTTCTATATTCGGGACATCCTTATTAAATAATATGTTTCCTATATTGAATTCTGATTTACAATGATAGTGACGTACTCGTTCTTTCTCGCTTTTATCTCCATTGACACATTTGGAAATAACATAGTTACCCCGCAATAAAAAATTTTCAACATTCTCATCAAGAGTAAAATTTGAGTTTAAATTATCATGATTGACCTCCTTGCATATTTCGATGCTATCTAAAACTTCAGGCCTAATCTTTTTTAACTCATCATCATAGTTTTTGAGTGAAATTAATTATTGAAATTCAAAAGATAATGGACTGATTTTGATTAATACTCATTAAAGACCACCAAGATTCAGATCCCAGTCCTCATGAATCGATAGGTTTGAGTTGTCTCGTTGCAGTACGGCTTGTTAAAGATTTCAACAATATTATTATCAAATTAGTAATCCTGGAAATAAAAAAAAAACGAATCAACAAGAAAGTATTTTCATGTCACAGTATGTATCTATAGTAGAACTCATTTTTCAAATATCAAAATAAGAGCCAACTTAACTTTCCTGATTGAGGAAAAACTGAAAATTTGATGACCGTGAAAAAATAAATGCATTTAAATGCTCAAACTTTCAAAAAAGCATAAAACAGCATTTAAGTCTTTCAAACAGTCAAATAAAAGTTATTTCCAGGTTTGTTGATAAAAGGATTGTTCAGAAAGATGAACATGACAGTGAGGGGAAAAAAAATTGACACCAGAAATTTACGAGTGATTTGAGATTATCCTGCTGAAGATGTGTAGAGATGTTTGAAAAACTGGCGACAGACGCTTCAAAGCTGTCAATTTTGGTGCAGGCGGCCCCATGCCCCCCTTTCAAGACAATTCTTTTGCTGCAAATACCTGCATTAATTCATTAAACATGCTCAGTGTGCATCCGACATGTGGGTTAAATCCTTCGGACGGGTCAAGTGCTTCACCCTCCCTTCCTCCCTTTGTATGGAAAGTATGTTCTCTAAAACATCTGCTTAAGTGCAAGTCGATTCTATAAAAGTTTAATACCAAATTGTGGACTTAGTAATGTGTTCAAATTACATCCAAAGCTGAGAAGTATTTTACGGATGCACTATGGATCTCCCACATGCAATCCTATGATCACATGCAATATTATTGAGGAGAGCACCAATGAAAACTTCTTTTTTTCTCTTTTTCTTTATGAGAGCTTGCGCACTCTAGATTTAGGACTAGACTTGTGGCCTTAGTCGTGTTAGACAAACAGCCACCGCTTAGTAAAGAGGTATGTACTTATTTAGCATGAGATTTGGTTAGGTATGGATTAAGTGGGATTCAAGTTCTCGGTAAAGTTCTAATTCTTGAAGAACTAGGTCGTACATCTGCAGAATCCACTGCTATGAATTCAAAGTATCCCTCCAAGAGACTCTTAATTAGCCTGATTTTTTAAAGTTCAATCTGTCAGTGGTGAAAGAACCAAACCACGTTTTTCAGTTTGCGACGTTGCAAATCTCCAATTAAATTTTACTTAAATACCTAAAGAAGGCCTAAAATCATGGTTATTGCATAAACTTTGTTTGGTTATCTGCTTTCTTTCAACAAAATTCTCTAAAAATTTTGCACAGAAAACCCAACAGCATTTCCTTGAAACATAAAATAAAGGCAAAAATCTTTAGACACCGTAATTGAAATTAATATTTGGTTTGGTAGCCTCATCAGCCTCATAGTTGCCTGCCGACTTCAAAGATTAAGTCCTCAGGGAGAGTTGTCAACAGCTGTTTTTCCTGGACTTCAGTTCTGATCTTCTCATTGGAAATTTGGAGAAATGAATTTTCTTATCCTCTTGTGAATTGCTGAGTTTGCCAGAAGGAAAATGCAAAATATGTATAGGCAAGTTAATCCTTGATTATGGAGGAGAGACAAAGACTCAAATTCCCTGAAAAGCCTACAAAGTGGTACTTCAAAATCAACGCATGGAAAAATTGCTGAAATAAATAAATAAATAAAAAAACCCAACCCAAGGTATACTTCAGAGTATTGAAGAGAATAAAGGAAACATACTAATTTACCTTTTGAATATCTGCCGCACCTCAGCTATGAGCGGATGATAGTTAATTTGTCAAACGAAAATCTGATCCTTATCACTTTATCTCTTATCAGTACACGAAACCGAATTGTGGTACTGAACGCTGATAACTGACTGATAAAGCGAAGCGACGGCACGAAATTATAACCTCGTGGTAGAGGATTGCGTAATCTTTGAAAATACCCGCCTGTTTTATGTAAACAAACGCTAGCGCACTCTATTTTTCCTACGTCCCCTCCCGAGCCCGACCCCTGCGACAAAACCATGCATGCTGAAAAGTTTATTTTATTTTATCAGAAGAATCCGAAAGCTCCGTGAAGCCGCGAGTCGGAAAGCTGTTTCGATTTTGAGCTTAAAGTAGATGGTGAAACTCTCCTTTCTTAACGATTAATGCACGATAATCGGAACTTTTGTTTACAGGATCGTGATTAATTTTTTCCCAAATATCTATTTACCTCGCGAGTTCCAAGAAGAATCTCCCAAAGCCCCAAACCCGGAGGTTCATACCTTCTCCTCCGAAGTTTTCGTGATCCGGCTTGTAAATTTTATTCATCTTAAATTTTATGAATCAATGTATGGATTTAGTGGTGATCGTCTCTGGAGCTGTTTGCGCCCCACATTACAGTCAACCGCATCTGACGTAAGTTAAAAATGGTTTTTATTCCAATTCCTACACGGTTCAAAAATCTCTGCTCAAACACACTGAGTATTTAAGGCTTTGAAAAACTGCTTATTATCATTGCTATCAGGTGATGATCCTACCATTAAAATTGGCTGGTCTCTTGGTCATTTTCATAAGAATTCTCTGGTAAATTGATAACCAACCTGTACCCAAAGTTCTAAGCGAAAGTTGGAAAGCCTGCCTGTTTGGTTAAGTAATCGGTCACACATGCTTTTATGAACATTGCTAAAATACAATACTTCAAATAAGTTCGAGCTACCGATCGCAAAAATTTGGGCAGTTCTCCCATTCAAGAGAGCAAGGATCCAGAACTTTTCCAGCATCTTGCACACATCTATACTAGCATCACCCCTTTAATGGCGTAATGTAGTTCAAAAGTTATGTCTATACTTTACTTTCTACATGGAAAACTACAAGACGCCTTTTTTTGAAAACTCCAGTGATTTTTCTTCTCCTTATGAAGAATATTCTGTAAAAACTTCGAGCCATGATGTGGGTTCAGTCTCCTTTTAAAATATGAACTACGAGCGGAGATGTCGAAACACCACAAATGAGTCAAGCATTTTTACAGTATCGCTATCGATATGGTATACATTTTGATTAGAGGTTAAAATATGAGGGTTGAAGTCCCTATTTTGTGTAAGGCCTTTGATGTAGTCTCTTAAAGGAGACAGTTTTTATGCGCCTTGAGTAAAATTCAAGAGTAATCTAACTTCTGAAATAGATGTAAGAGAATAAAATGATTTTCCACACCAAAAACTTCGGAACAGGCAACCAGGAGCGCAGGATCTTCCAGGCTTCCACTTTTTCACACGCCCACCCGCCGGCTTTCAACAGTTTTCTTGTCGGCTCTTTTCCCTCCAATTCCCAAAGTGATGATTTTTTCCTTTAATTTTTTACTTTTTACCTGTTAATATTCCCAGGTATTTTTTTTTTCTTCACATTTTTTAGTTTTCACAATGGCAAATCATTCCAATTCCTTCAAGGGTTCCTTCCCCAAAACTATTCAGTAAAATTTTACTGCAGGTTCAGAAAAATGCTCCTTTTTATGATACTAAGTCAAAGACCTCCTTATATCTCCCTTCATCACAATGAGAACTATATGAGTCCTCCTTGGGGACAATTTTATTTACATATTTCTTATTATTTACTTATATCTTTTTCCAATCTGATCAAATACTCAAACCACCCCATCTTCGCACATCGACGACGTATGAATCCAAAAATTGAAGGCGCTGCGGCATTTTCAATGGCTAGGTCCGGATGCAACTATTCGTGTTCTCCGGATGTCCGTATTGCATACACGAAAAATTGCAGGCGCTCTGGTTTTCTCTGGGACAAAACGTTTGGCTGCGATCGTCAGTCTTCAAGGGGTTTCTCATTTTCAATACGATACCGTTTACCATGAATTCCTCCAAAGTATAAATCGCCAAATTGCGTTAAATATTGTCGATAGTGATTTCCTCGGGAATACCAAGAAAATTAGAAACTTGTCAAAGAGTACAACTTTGTCCTAAATATCATCGCTTCTTATACAATTCTATCCCAATTAAAAGCATGTCCCGATACAACGAAGTTTTGCGTAAATAGCGAGCAAATGGTCGATCTTGAGATTGGTCGAGCATTCATGTAGGGGCGACTTCATTCTCTTCTCCGACAAGGAATTTAAGCGTATTTTTTTTTCGCACCGGCTAGTGAGACATCGTCACCTTCCGGCCAAAGTATCACAACCGTCATGCGACATTTAAAAATTTCCGCCGCCATTGTATTTTTTTTACAGCGAAATTTTTGGTTGAATCCGTCCGAAAACACTGAACTTTCTTTTGTGCTGCTGATAAAATTCAGTGAAATTTTCTAATGGATTCAACCAAAAATTTCTATATAAAAAAATAAAATGGCGGCGGAAATTTTCAAACGTCGCATACGTTTGTGATACTTTAGCTGGAGGGTGACGATATGTGAAGCCGTGGTTCGTCGTCGCTAGAATCTTAATGTTTTTACTGGCCGGGCTCTGTTTGCGCATTTTGCAGTGAATTTGACGTGATTTGAAGGTTTTTTGGTAGACAATTGTCCCTATAAACCATAGTCTCGTCCCAATGAAGCGGAGTTTTTTTTCTTTTTTTCCTTACAATGCTATGTAAGAGATTCCGGTCCGGACGATTTTGTCCCAATGAAGTGGTTCTCCAGACTAACCAGTGTCCCAACTAAGCGGAGTTGACTGTATAACCGTACTTCTATTCTCTATGAAAAATTAAATTCACCATTCGAATTCAGATGAGGGATGAGTCAGAAATGAATTCTTCTATAACGATTTTCAGTCCCTGGGGCAGGAGCATCACTCTTGGCGCTAAGTTATAAAAAAAAGCAGGGCCGGATTTAGGGGGTGGCCACATGGGCCGCGGCAAATTTTGGGGGCTGCAAATTTGGAAATTTTTCAAATGTAGGTATTTAAAAAAATCGGATTCAGAAAAAAAAATTATAAACGAGGAAGGCCACTAAGTCTCTCATTTCCTGAAAGTAGAGGTATTGAAATTTCTAATTTAGTCGTCTTTCCGTGATGAAAGAAACAGCACCTTTAATTAGTCAAGTTAAGAGAGAAACCAAATAAGCAATTTGGCCTGGAACGGCGCGACGCAGAGAGCAATGATGACGAGGACTTGAGATGAAAAGGAGAAGACCTTGGCGCGGCGGTCGGCATGTCACACATATTAGCGCCTACAAGACTGCATGAATACTTCATGCATTGCGTCAAACACCATGCGTTCCGCAGCGGTCGGCGTGAAACTCATAGCGCCTACAAGACTGTAGGAATACTTCACGCATTGCGCCAAATACAGTGCGGTCAGCGCGGCGCGGCGGAGGTTAAGATTATTAAACCACATTTATGTTTGTTCTCTCATAATTTATTCGTTCATTCTTTATAAATGTAAGGCGTTTTCCAGAGATAGGTTTACGGTACTTAACTTTCTCGCAAAGTTCCATGAACTTTTGCTAGTAGTGTTGACAGGGCTTTCGCAACAAAATGTGTCCAACACAGATAAACGCGTCTTATGCACCCCTCCCACTTTGGCATTTGCACTTGATAGTTTTTAGTGATGTCTCAAAACGAATGAAAAGGGGGCGGCAAAATTCAGGCGACCCATGGGCGGCAAGTATAGGTAAATCCGGCCCTGATAAAAAGGCTGAAACGTTTCGTCTTGCAAAGAAGACGTTAATCATTACATCGAGCATTGATCGTTTTCAAACAGTGGAAGTACAAAAATTTGAAACCAACTGATCGACAGTGTGTCTGTCTGGCGTGGATTAATTAAACTAAATCGGTTTCAACAGCTTCAAATTTATGAATGTGTTCAAAAGCGCCCGTTTATTCGCGTTAGCTACGCGATGATACGAAAGTATGATAACTAAAAATGTGGGTAAAACAAGACTAAAGTATTAAAACCACCAAACAGGTAGATCGTCTCGCGTCGTCACAGGCTCATTTTCAGCCGCAAAAAACAACTAAAATGAATAAGAAATTGAGTGCCAACCTAATCCCAGTTGTCATCACGCTACCGCTGGATTTCGGTTGCGTGATGTAAACTTTGATCAGGTCGGCACTCAATTTTTTATTAATCTTTATTATTTTTTGCAGTTGAAGATGAGTCCAGAACGGCTCGGAACGTCCTGCCTTTTTGGTGATTTTTATATTTAATTTGATCTTCCTTTACTCACATTCTTAGTTTTCATCACGTCATAAATATTCGAGTCATGTAATCTATGCAATCCCTTGATCATCTTTGTCAGTGTCTTTAGAAAAATACTCATTTTGCAGATAGCAATTTTTTTTGCAGTAAATTACTACTGTTAAAGCTCAAAATCTTGCGTGATTTTAGTCAGCCCTCGTAACGAAATAATTTTAATTTCATACAAATAATATGCCGCAAAATTAAATCAAGTTCAAACTTAAAACTCTCTAACACAGTTCTCTAAAAAATATCAATGATTAAGTAATGCCGAAAAATCTCTGATTGCATCAACGCGACATTGTAAGGGTCCTCCGGTCATTATAATTAAAAAAAAAGGGGAAAAACAAACCAACAGTTTTTCTAGAAATTTCCCAGAAATTTTCTTCTTTCATTCAAAAATATCAAACCAAGCTCTCCGCTTTCTTTTAAAGACAGAGACCACTGCTGTCAGAGATTTGTAAACGTTACAATAGCGATACGCATAATTTTTCTGAAGTAAGACCAAACTCTCTGAAACAGCGCAAGGGAGAAAAGTGTTTCTCCACTTTCACCATCGATACGTAATACATTACTACGCTTTTGTTCGTAGCGTTTATAACAACGTTTTCGCTTGATCCGTACCGCGCGACATGCAATTGGAGAATCATTGGAATCGTGGCTCGCGTTCGGGGATGAGTGAATAATCGACTCTCGGTAGTTTCCCATTTGAAGTCGTGGTAAAGAATCGATTATTAAGGTAACCCTGATATTCGATCTTCCCCCATAGGTTTACATGGCAGATAAATCGATCTATCGCAAAGCACGACTCGCCACTGGGGGAAAAGCGTAATGCGTGTTGATGGGAGCCGGCAGGAATCCGTGAGAACCGTGCGGGCAAAGGACCCGCCTGATTCATAATGCATGTATATGAGTTAGTTAAATTTACGGCTGGCCGCCCCGATAACTTTCGTGCTTCCAGTTGTATTTACCCATCAATCGATATTCGATAGGCGATTCTTCCAAGCTGCCGCGCCGAAAGGTCGTAGCCGCACCGGTGAGAAAAAACCCCGTACGACCTTCGGTTCTTATCAAATTCCCTGTGACAAATCGCAAATTTTACACGTAAGTTAACTTTTAAATTTCTTCACTCGAGTTTTTGGAAGGATTTTTGTTTCTGTAGACTGTGACTGTTCAAAACCGGGGAATGTCCGAAAGTCAGGAAAAATGACGAAAATGTCACGGAAAATGTGTTAAATCATCTTTATTTGCTTTCTAGAAAGGGGTTTGAGGTTTCAAATTATAAATTTTGCCTGAAAATTATTTTCAATTGTGTCTTCTTAACCACTTGTCATATCTTCAATTGTCAGGGGATTCCACCCAAATGCGTCATGGAAATCAGGGGAATGTCTGGGAATTTCATTTTCTAAATTCTATGGCAACTCTGGCTCAAGGGAAAATGCCTATTTTCCCATGAAATGAACAGTTTATCCTGGGGGAATTGGGATACCTTTGATTGTTCTGACTGTTTTTCCGGCAGCGCGACCGTAGCACCGTAATCCCTCCTGTTTTTTTCGTTGCTTGTTCGGGGCACCATGTAGTCTCGCTACTCTTGAATGAGAGGATTCACATAGTCTATGTCAAAATCATCGGCTTTTATCAATAAATCATGACACGACGCTCACTCGGAACACACACAAATAATATCCTTTTAAGCGTGGAAAAGTGGTACCGACGGCAGTAAGTTCGCCTTCAATTTTTAGTGTAGGCAAAACGAGCTCCTTCGTGGTCGAATAGTGGTATCATGGAGATTTGGCACGCTAACTCTAATTGTCCTGTTCAAATTTATATTCCTATTTGTATCACTATGACCTGTACCACCGTCAAATTTTTTTTCAACTCTTCATGTATCAACATGAAAACTAAAATAAAATAAATGAATAACTCGGAACACACTCAAACAATAGCTTTTTACCGGACGGGAGAAGTGACTTTAACGCCGTGTCAATTCGCCTTCAACTTTTAGTGCAGGCAACACGAGCTCTCTCATGATCAGTGGTATCACCGTACATGTCACACTTAAGTAGAACGTACAAAAACTATCCTTGTACCAAATTTGAGAGATTGTTCTAACGCATTGAGAGTTCTCGCCTATAGCTTTCGATGTGCCTGTCGCAGGCAATTCAGAATCGGCTCGCAAATGGACCCCTAGACAAGGTACAAAGTTAAGCGTTTTGATACATGTCTCTTAACCAAAATTTCACGTAAAACACGATTCGCGCAATGAAAATTACTGAAATTAACTCCTAACTAAAATATTTAATGTTTCTTTGACTCGTGAATTCAAACCTCCTGCTCATGAAAACTCAAAGGTGTACGTGTACGTGAGTCAAATCGCACACCAAACGTAACCGTAGCGGTCTGCGATACGAAAGTACGGGAGCCTCAATATTGACGTCTTGGCTCAGCTATGACAATTGTTTACTTTTTAAACAATTATTAGTTCGATGAAGGGTGGAAAGGAACAATGCGCGATCGAGAAGCCTGCCGAAACCGTTGTAGTACGTAATTGGACTCACGTAGAGTATTGTGTTTCTTGTGATCGGGCAATTCAAATTTCCCGTAACCAATGTAAAATAAAAACGCCAATATCTTAGCAAGGAGTTGATTTCAGTGATTTTCACTGCAAGAATCGTGCCCTACGTGAGGCTCTGATTAAGAAACATGTCACTTCTTTTATTAACTTTGTCGGTCATCAAGATTTTATGAACTATGTAGTAGAGTGCTTAAATTCGCACTTTGTCTAGTGGTCCACTGCCGGCGATGGCTAATTCCCTCCTACATTTCTATTTCTCATCGGTCCAATTTTTTAATACAATCCATATGTAAATAAACTCCGAAATCGGGTCTCATCAGTATAGTACCAAAATTAAAACTCAAAACTGAAAAATCCTTGACATGTATAGCTGTATATATATTTTAACGTGAATGTATGCGTCTGCTGTAGCACAAAAAAATGTCAGAAATTATGGGCGAGGAAGAAAAAACTGACAGAACATATTTCAGCGCCAAAATACAAGTACGAACCCGCATATGATAAGCAACCTATCGAAGTAGCTTAATATATATTTTCTGTGAATATACGTCGTGCCATTTCGCTGGCTTTTGAATGTTCGCTCCCTTTGACCCGCGCATCGAGAAGAGGTGGGGAACTATGAAATTACTTAGTTCGGTTGCAAAAAGCAGGCCAAGGACAGCAAGGTTCACTGTCGATGTATTCCGTTAATTTGCGACACTTCGGAATACAGAAAGGTTTTCAAACTTACGGAACGCCCTTTTCTACCTCGTCTCTCTAACTACCATTCTTACTGAAATCAATGCACTCGTGGCTCGCAATGCACAGAAGTAAGCCACTCTTCGAATCAGACTGGAAAGGAACTTCAAACGTTGCAAGTTATCCGCGTTCACATATTTATACGTAGGAAAGCTTCATCATACGCAGGCGATGGAGCTATTTATTTCTGTACCTATAGTCTAGTAGATACCAATAGAAGTTTATTATTGCAAGATTGAGGCCAGAAGAGGTTGAAGTTGATTCTCATGTATTTTTGGTCGCTGAATCCGAAGTTGATGTTTCCCATCAAATCCGTCTTATGCGCGCGTCCTCCGGAAAAGCCGAAAAACTGCCGAAAGTGAAGTAAAAACTATGAGTAAAAAACGAGATGTCTTTAATTTTTTCGGAATTTTACTTGGCAACAATTTTGCTGAGAACTTAATTTTCCGTTCCAACGATTATTAAGCTATTTATGCCCGAAAAGCGTGTGAAAACGTCTTTTTCGGTAATTTTCCGGCTTTCCCGGAGAACGCAGCAGGCGGGTTTGGTGGGAACCATTAGATTCAGATTCTGCGACCAAAAATACCGAAGCTATCGTGACGGCTCTTCGGATTTTCTAAGCCTTTTGCTCCGTAGGCAATTTTTCTCACAGTCCCTGCAGTAAAAATTGCCTGCCCAGCAAGGAGCTTCGAAAATCTGAAACTTTTTTTAAAGCTCTGTCGCGTCGAAATGACGCGCTTCTTGAAAATTTTGAGAAATACCTGATGGCCTTGATTTTCGCGCTCTTTTACGTACCGTAATCAGTTTTTCCAATTATCATTTACCAAAAAAAGTTATCGCAATTTTATAATTCGGGAACGCTCGTAACGTCATTTTTCGAAGACGTCCCTCCTTGAAAACACGAAAAACAAACAGTACGCTAAAAAATACCCTGCTACCTAAAGTTTCAGCTACTTACGACAAAATGAAGAGGGGGTACATCAATTTGAAAGAAAAAATGGCAACTTTGGAAGCGCATAGCTCACTTATGAAGCGTTTTCGGGCATATGTGTATAAGAAACGGTGTTCGAAACTCACCTTGGAGTTTCAGGAGCCATGTGGCGCATCAAGCTCGATTTTTAGGGTTCATTGAAGATTTTTTAGGGGTCAAATTGACTTTTTGCGTATGTATCACGGCGCATTTAGTGACAAGTTAATCGCAAGGTGTCTTAGTCACAGAACTATTAGCTGTTACTTGGAGATATTTCGAAAAATCACCAAACAGAAAAACTAGGATTTTTTTTTTTTTTTTTGGGGGGGGAGGGATTTTTAGGGGCCACGTTGGCGCAGAGCCTTCATTTTTTAAGCGCCATGGCCGATTTTTTAGGCGCATTTGGCGCGTTGGCGCCTGTGAGTTTCGAACACTGATAGGAAACAATAGTCATAGTTTGAGCCAAAAAATCGATCCTGATAGTTAACTACGTTAACTTCCAGACACCCCGTATAGTGTATGTAGTTTCCGCCTTCATCTAAATTATATAAACCCATTGACTTACTATTTCTTTGATCCGGTCCGCAGGTTTGAATCGTGACGATCCTCCCTCCATGGATAACTACAGTACCCGCATTACCTCTTTCTTCTCTCGGATATGTGGACCAACTTTAGTCGGAAGAAAGTGGGTAAGTTTCCACGTTAAAATCTACTGTTCCTAATTCTCCCATCCCTTAAACTCTGATAGCCTTCGACAACCGTGTTCTAAGAATTATAAAAATCAAACGAAGGCGAAGAATAACATCGCTATTGTCATAACAACAATTTAAATCCATTGGCGGATCCAGCAAATTGGCAACAGTGTCTTTTCTCAATTTAAATCTATGGAAATGTATCGATTCGTGGAGGGGTCAGGTTCTCCGACAAGAATCGATTATTTATCATAGGTTTAAATGGAGGAAATCCGGTGTTGCCAAATCGCTGGATCCGCCTCTGTTTAGATCGAAAATCCGCACGTCCAAGTTTGTCTCGCATGGATAGAAAGTTGGACCGCGTCAAGCAGAAAGGAAACGAGCTACGTCAGCCATTTCCAAATTTAATTGGGCAATCTAATGTTTTACACGAAAACGGTTGTGCGAATTTTTGTGCACATTTCGGTGAATTTTCTGCGTAGTACGAAGTAAATTCCTTAAAACTTTCAAAAAAATCCACACAAACGTTCTCTTGTAAAAAAAATTTAACTGTCCAGTTTTCGACAATAGCTGATGTGATTTGGTTCCTTTCTGCCTAACGCGGTCCCGTTACTTCGGAAATTAAAAAAGGAAAACTCGCAGTATGTATACTAAGTACGTCCAAGTATGGAATTAGCTTGATTGAGCGGGAAAGACCGGGTGCCCATAAAAGTCTTTTCTACCCTATAATTTGAAAAAAAAATAAAATTTTTTTGCTCACTAGAAGGCTTTTAAAAAAGATTCGACGTGACGTGGCAAATTACGCTTTTTAATGTCGTCATCTAGTGACCCTGACTTATTTTTGAAGTTGTACCGCATTATGAGCGTTGTATCCGGTGTGCGAAGTTGAGTCTCCTTGCGATTTTGCCCCAAAAAGTGTCGAATAAAAGAAAAACGATTTATCAAGTGTTACCGAACAATATTTCCTCGGTAGCGTCCGTTTTTCTTGATCAACGGTTGAAAAGCTTACTCATATCCCCTCGAGTGTCGAGCACTGGAGAAGAGTTCTCGTCGGAATGTGACCAGGGTTGTCAGCTCTGGGCAAATTCCGAGAATTTTAATCGAAGCACGCGAAAACCGTGGGGAATTTTCCTATCGATGCGTCAATCGCTGGATCTAGGTCAAGGGTTAGGGAGTTTACCCTACCTCTGTGGACAGTGTGTATTATTATCGGACGGGGTTCTAGCTTCCACTCTCTTCAACTTGTCAATTTTTGATAAGCTCGTGTGAGGCACCCAAGGTTGCCAAGTTGTGTGAGTATTTGTGGATATTTTTATAGGTTTTAATTGGGGGAACGTGCTAGAATCCAGCACTATTTGCCAACAATGGAGGCGCCTTTTGCACCCCGTTGCCGTGGCTTCAAGGGAGAGCCATTTTGAACTTGTGACGCAATGTGAAATCCAACACTTGATTGTTCAATGCGGAATCAGTGCACGTGCCGAATTAGCCCCCCACAATTTTGCCTTAGGCGCTTCTGAAGGGAGAATGAAGTTGGGCAGCTTTAGCTTAGAGCCGGAGAATCAGAACTGACGTACTCGGAATTATTGATTTATCTGCATTTTTGACACCCTTCGGAAAGGTTGAATTTTTGTAAGAAAAAAAGAAAAGAAAGAGGTGAAAGTTGGACGAGTAGTGCACGGTGAAAAGTCAGGGAATGCGTAAATTTTGGAGTCAGGAGGACTCGAGAAAGAGCAATAGAGTCAGGGAAAGTTAGGGGGAAAAGGTAGTTATATCGAAACCTTTGTTCAACCATCAAATCTTTCTCGCTAGTGCCCCATGCCGTAGATCCGCCTTGAGATATGAATCATGGGAATATTAATATCACACAGAATCCAAGGTGTCATCTACCTTCCTCCACCATTCACTCGTCAAAGGGGACTTAAATCGGAGATTCGGGACTCGGGAGACTTCAACTCCAGTGTTCGAAACTCACATTTGAGTTTCAGGAGCCATGTGGCCCGTCAAGCTCGATTTTTAGGAACCATTGCATATGTTTTAGGGGTCAAATTGACTTTTTGCCCATTACATGTATCCATCGCACTTAGTGAAAAGTTAGAATCCGGTGCCGTGCGTCGAAATTTCAAATAATCTCCAAACAGAAACAGTAGGATTTTTTTGAAGTGGAGGGGGAGGGGCAATTTTTAGGGGCCACGTTGGCGCAGAGCATGCCGTTTTTAGGTTCCATGACCGATTTCTTAGGCGCATTTGGCGCGTTGGTGCCTGTGAGTTTCGAACACTGTTCAACTCGCACCTCCCCGTAAATCTTTTGCATGAAAACGCAACCCTTGCGTAAAGCTTTTTCTCGTCTGTAGACACAAAGGAAAAGAGTGAATCCATAAAGTTGACAACAATAAAAATGAAATTTTGAGCTTAAAACTAATGTACTAAATTCAGACACGGGACAGACCGGTTGAATCTGTTCATCGATTTTCGCTTTCCTTGGGAGTCTAGAGTTTCCTTGGAGTCTTCCCTCAGGCGCGTCAAATTTTTGACAAGGTCAATAGACAATTTGTCGCTTATCTGACCTGAGGGCGTATCTCTGTTTCCAAGTGACCCCCAGAAAGCCTAGAGTCAAATCAGTGGCGTGGCGTGAATTGCGATGTATCGATTGTTATGCCATTTAAACCTATAGGAAAGGATCGATGAGCAGGGTGTTCGCAGCGAACACCTTAATATAATCGATTCTTTACCATGTGTTTAAATGGCATAACAATCGATACATCGCAATTCACGCCACGCCACTGAGTCAAATAGAGAACAGGACTCACGTGGAAATTGAGTTGCGCCCTTACAACAGAGGAACGACGAATTGAACGAATTTCACCAGAATCAGCTCGATAGCGTTTCTGGTCTCCTGATTTCCTTTCACGTCTTATTTTGTCAGAAAAACTGGACAATACACTCCCTGAAAACAATTGTTAATTGAATCAATTATTTAGTTTAACAAAACACTATTTTTTCAATATAGAGATAAATAACAATTTAATAATTTTGAATAATAAAAACTTTTCAAAACATAGCTTCTAACTATGTAAAAGTAATATCTTTACTAAAGTTTTGGACTAAATAAAATAGAGTTTAGCTTTTCAAGATAAACTCAATGCGAATCTCTGCCCAAGTACTTATGAAGAAAATACTCGCAAAATATCAAGTTAAAATGTTCTCATTTCTGCCGTACCAAGGAAGAACGCCGTATGAAAATTCGAGAGTTGCCAAATCTCCTACGATAAAATGTGTATTTTTTAGGGAAACTGTGAATATTTTTCCTTGAAATTTTCAGACACCGTAGATAAAATTACCAACAAAATTATCTGAGAAATTGGAAGAAAAATGTTCAAAAATTTTCCTGAAAATGAGTGTTTTGCCAGAGGAAATTTGGCAACGCCTGAAGGTTCATACGGCGTTTTTCCTTAGCACGGCAGATTTGTGATCTGTCAAAAAAATAAAACACGAGAATCAATCTGGCAACATCTGATTTAGTTAATACGATTCTAATTCTATCCGTTTGGATGACTTTGAGAGGTAATTTTAAAATGCAGCAATGGAAATTCATCCAGCGGTCTTGTTCGACACGAAAATGTGTGATACAAATATACCGCCTTGGATGTGTTGCACAGTATCAAGTGCAATTGAAGGCGCTCCAAACAAGTGGAGTCTACGTCTGTTGCTGTGAGCTGCAGTCGTTCGCTGTTCGTTCTTCGTCGAGTATACAACTTTTGGTCTCTTTAAATTCCGCATTTTTGCCCCAACGAAAAGTTTGTTATCTACTTACACCTGTTATCACACAAAATTTTGATCGAGTGAGGAAGTCATCCAGAATGCCAAATAAGACTAGTGGATGAAGACAACTAAATCTGTTATATACTGTCGTTCAAAGAATTTTCATTAGAAACAGAGCATCTAACAGAAAGATGGAACTCTCAATCTAGGTTTAATTTTTTTTACAATATTCCTCAAACGCAAAATACCAAAAGAAACAAATTTTTTCGATTTTTCACTCGCAATCAGTTGATCCATTTTGAAATTCCAAAGTTGATATCCAGTTCATGAACTCATCAGCGAAATTTTCTAACACAAGTCTGAACACAACACCGTTCCCACTCCCCTCTTTCCCCAGCGGAACTCGTACAGATACTTATCAAATATAGGGTAAACCGCTTTAATATTTGTTATGCTCTTTTTTCAGGACCTGAACGTATCATAAAAGCGAATGATAGATTTTTTAATGCTCAGTTTAAATATGCAGTAAGTTATTTTAATCTACTTTGCTTCCATTATAAAAAAACTGAGTTATTACTTATTATTTGTTATTCTTCTAAAGCACGATCAATTTTTCCACAAGTCCTGATTCAGTCTTTTGAGTTACTCGGTCCTTTGATTTTTCTCTTAATGACGTATTTTCAGTAGTTTTTTGCTAGACCTTCGCAGCTGGCTGAAATGATAAGAATAAAATAAAGAGCTTGGATACTAAGTTTGATGGCGAAGAAATTGACTAAATTCATAGAGATATGAGCAAAAATTGGAAAATTTCATTCCTCAAACAATCGTTCACATTTCCTCTTTTCAAATGGGTAATTTCTGAAGAATTTGCCGGGTTTAAGAATGAAAAGCCCTGAATAAACTGAAAGTTTCTACTTTATGAAGAAATTCAAGTACTTAATAATAGATGTTTAAATATAGATAAATGTACACCATGGCAGCCCGAGAAATAGCAACACTGCTAATTTTTCCTCATACCTTCCATTCTACTTGTTAACTGTAATAGTAATGGGTGCTCAGGGCTTCAACATGAATTAATTTTCTTCCCTTGCCTTTAAGTTTTAATTTCTAAGAGTCACTTGTTAGTGTGTGTCTTGTTGTTGAAATATTGAATCAACATCTAATCATATAGATCCTTTCACCGAGAGTTTTCTTAAATTTCTGCCTTTATTTATTTTTTTCACCTTTTTCAGAATAACTTCATCAAAACATCAAAATATTCACTGCTGACTTTTCTTCCGCTCAACATATTTGAGCAATTTCAAAGGCTTGCAAATTTTTATTTTTTATGCCTCATGATTCTGCAAAGTTTGCCTTTGATTTCGACCCTATCACCTGTCACAACTGCAATCCCACTATTTACAGTTCTTCTCGTAACTGCTGTGAAAGATGGTTATGATGACATCGTAAGTTATCAAATTACACCTACTCTTTTCAGAATTGTTTAATCTACTTCAAATCACATACCTACCTACAAAATTTTAACAGCACAGCTTACTTTAGCGGGCTAGCAGACCAATATGGTGTAGAATTTTTAATATTTTACTGAGTGTCTTCGATTTTTTTAGCTGGAGTTGAATTATTTTTAAACTAAAAATTATCAAGTCTCATCTTAAGTACGTAAGATAATTAAGCTATATTGCATCCAGGGCTGGATTTAGGGAGTGGCCATATGGGCCGTGGCCCGTGGCGGTAAATTTTGCATTTTTTTTAAATGTAGGTATAAAAAAAAATTCGGATTCAGAAAAAATATCACAAACGAGAAAAGGCGACAAAACCTCTCATTTCCTGAGAGTATAGTAGTTTCTAATTTTGTCGTCTATCGGCGATACAAGAGACAGCATCTCTAATTAGTCGAGGTAAGAGAGAAACCAAACACGCAATTTGGCGGCGCAGAGAGAAATGATGACGAGAACTTGAGATGAAAAGGAGAAGCCTCGGCGCGGCAGTCGGCATTTAACACATGTTAGCGCCTACAAGACTGCATGAATACTTCACGCATTGCATCAAACACAGTGAGGTCAGCAGCTCGCAGCAGCGGTCGGCGTGAAACGCATAGCGCCTACAAGACTGAATGAATACTTCACGCATTGCGTCAAACACAGTGCGGCATGGCAGCACGACGCGGCGCGGCGGCGGAAGTTAAAATTATTAAACCAAATTTATGTTTGTTTTATTATAATATTTTCGTTCATTGCTTATAAATGGAAGGCCTTGTCAATACAGAGATAGGTTTACAGAACTCAACTTTCGCGCAAAGTTCCGTGAACTTTTGCTAGTAGTGTTGACAGGGCTTTCGTAAAAAAAATTGTCCAACACGAGTAATGAGAAGGGGGCGGCAACATACAGGCGGCCCGGCCCATGTGCGGCAAATACGTAAATCCGGCCCTGATTGCACCTATCTCGGAGGAACTTCCTCTTAACCTATATAAACAACTTATCTTGGCTTCTTACATGTTTTTAGTTTCTCATCAAAGACTCAGTTTTAAAGCCAAAATCATATTGAAACTCAAGAAATACAAGTGTTCTAGATTGCATTTTCTCCAACTAGAAAATAATTACCCTTTACTCTGATAATTAGTTTGTTTCAATGGTTTTGAAATGCATGGTATCTTGTACTAGACAATGTAATATCTCACATGTGTCCCACTTGCTCTTATCAGTAGTTAAATGACACATTGTAAGGCATAAGCTAAAAAATCAATCAACTTTCTTTCTAGCATGATGCAGTTGTGTTTTATAAATAGAATTTTATCAATTTTTTCTGTGTACGTTAAAAATAGCAGATAATTGCCCTAAAGTGAACTTTTTAAGGGAACTTAATTTTTACTCAAAGATCGAAAACATCTATTTTACAAAAAGAGTGTAATGCATGCAGAAGCAAGTAGCTCAAGAGTTTTGAAAAGAGAGAGCATTTCCATGCAGTGTTTGCACCATTCCATAACTCTACCTTTGTAATTCCACCTGATTGTTTACTTTTTTTTCTTTTTTTTCAGTTCAGGCATTTGAATGATAAACTTGTGAATCAAAGGAAAGTGGAGATTTTTTCAAAAGGAAAACTAATTGAAGAAGTTTGGTCCAATGTTTGTGTTGGCGATATTATCTGTCTGAGGAACAACCAATTTGTTGCAGCTGACATATTGATTCTATCAACAAGTGAATCGCATGGCTTATGCTTTATTGAAACTGCAGAACTTGATGGGTAAACGTTTTTATTCTGATGGAGACTTCATCGTTTTCCTTAGAAATGTGCTACTTAAAACATAACAAACTTATTATATCAACGGTAGTACAGATCAAAAAAGACCAATCATGGCCCACCACGGTCAAATGACTCAATTTTTCATCTCTCTTTATACTGTTGGACAGGTTGTAAGTCATCAAAAATCATACACCGAATGAAAATATTTCCTTTAAAATAAAAAAAATGAAAAATGATTCGGACTGCTTTTGTTCGGTTTACAACTTGAAATTCTATTATGCAGAGTCTCTCTGAGATAGTTTTATATCCTACCATCCTTTTTTAAGATTCTTAATAGTTTTTCTTCTTTCTTTGTTTACATTAGGTTTCTAAATTTAGTTTTAGTTTCTTTTTTAATTTCAGTGGTAATTTCGAGAAACTTTTATGTTTTTCTGAATTTGGTTTGTTTATTTTCAGGGAGACAAATTTAAAATGTCGGCAGTGTCTTCCAGAAACTCATCGTCTGCAGCATGATGTAGGAAACTTTGATGGTGAAATTGTCTGTGAACAGCCAAACAATTTATTGAACAAATTTGTTGGAGTGCTCCATTGGCAAGGAAAACAGTAAGGCAACTTTTTTCTTTTATCTTTTTATTCAATTGATTTTTCTTTGAGTAGTGTAATTTCACTGGTTGGGAATTGAATCCATTGAGACAAAATGCACCGCTTAACAATCATATTTCCTACCTTTTTTTCCTGTCCTGCACACTCTGAGAGACTATCTAGCTCCTCAAAGTTTTTATGACTTCACTTTCAAGATCTATATTCCAAGCTCGTCATGAAGTAGCATTAATTCATTTTATGTAACTTGTTGAATTTGCAAAGAATAGCTTCACACAAATTCTGAATTTTGCATTTTTTTAAAAATTTTGAGAAATTAAAGTTGCATCTTAAAATATTTTTGTTTTGGATTTTCTATGCATAAAATAAATGCTTTGCTGTTCAAAGTTAAACTGTGACTGAAAGCATTCTAATGTTGGTAACATGTTCATATTTTTCTTGCGCTAAATTATGAATTTTTCTTTTTCTTTTTAGGTACTCCTTAAATAATGACAGAATTGTCCTGCGAGGCTGCGTTCTCAGGAATACTGGGTGGTGCTATGGTGTTGTTATTTTTGCCGGCAAAGATAGCAAACTCATGCAGAATTCAGGGAAGACTTTGTTCAAGCGCACATATTTAGATTGCTTTTTAAACAATATCATATTTGGGGTAAGCACTATTTTATATTTTCGTCTTCAAATTTGACATCTGCAACTTAATTTTCTTCCTTCTACTCTAATTGCATCAGTCTTCATGGGGTAATTTTAATCCTTTCTATCAAGCATCATAAGTTAGTTTTATGACACAGACTAAATGATTGTTTCAAACTAGGACAAGCTCCATGAAAATGTACAGGAACTGTGAACTCAGAAAAATGAAGAATGATACGATTAGACTTGATAGTCTCAGAATGTTGGAATGGTAAACTTCAAACAGTTGAAATGGTTCTCGGTGAAAGGTGAACTAAAATTTATTTTCTGTTCTTCTCAGTGAATTGCTTTGAGGAAGTGAGTATTCAAGCACATATTTTGTACCGCACACTCTCTACCATGCAGATCCTCCTCTGCGGTCATGTAAAACCCAAATTGTACGTTTTTGCTGTTGAGTGTCAACCTTTTCTCCTCACACTCTCTTATGCAGTAGTCAGAGCCCCAACTTTTTCCAAGGGATTTAGCAATGACCTATGTGCAATTCTTTTTCGTATTTATACTTGACACATCAATTTAAAATGAGCCAAGTCAAATTGTTCTGTTAGTAAATAATTTTACCGATTTTTTTTCAGATAGTAATATTCCTGCTTACACTGTGCTTTTTTTGCGCCTGCGCTTGTCTGTACTGGGAGCATAACATTGGAATTTACTTCCGCATGTACATACCCTGGGATTCTGTCATACCATCTGATCCTGTCACTGGCTCTCTTGTTATTGCAATCGTGTCTTATTTTTCCTACATAATAATTTTAAGCAATGTCGTTCCTATCTCTCTATATGTAAGGTAAATATTTTTTTTTTTTATCATTGCTTAGTTGTTCTCATAGTTTAAAAGATAATCAGTATGAAGAGAGAACTGAGTAGAAAGGAATGATTCACAGGAACCTTCTAGTTTGAAAATTCTCTGGAGTCGAAAGATGTGAGACTTCTAAACAGTCAGTCTGAATCACAAATGGAGCTCTCTATTCTCCAAGTCTCTCAAGTTTTTGAAAAAGATTGTACGATTAATTTTGTTTTCAATGGGAGATCCCCTGTGCAATAATTACCAAGTGATAAAACAACAAAGGAAGATACAAAATAAAAAGCACAATGTAAAATCTAAAATAGAGTAAAAAAATTAATATAAAAAATGAAATTATAAAAAGAGATCAAGAACAAGTAGAATGAATAAATTCGATCACAAGAACTACAGTAGTTAATCCCTGGCCGGGTCCTCAATGATGCTTTATAGAATTGTTTTTCTCCATTTATTATTTACATGGTTATTAGTAGATAAGCTTTCAATTATAATGAGGGTTTTCCTCATCAAAAACAACTTTTTGTTTTGTGCTTTATTAATAGAAGTTTTTGTTTTCAGTGTAGAAATGGTAAGACTGGTCCAGAGTTTACTAATTAATAACGATGAGAAAATGTACTGTCCAATCAACAAGATGTATGCCAAAGCTCGAACAACTACTCTTAATGAGGATTTGGGTCAGATCAGCTACATTTTTTCGGACAAAACGGGAACTCTTACACAAGTTTGTACTTTTTTCCTCAATTCTTTAGTTTTTTCTATCATCTCCTTTTTTTAATAGTTGCCAACGTGTTGCAGAAGAATCTCTCCAGGAGATAAAATAAACCCAGAGACAGCAGGGAATTTCGTTGTTAAAAATATCAGCTTGAGATACTAGGATTGTGTAAAATTAATATGATGCAAGCTATAGAAATTGCAAAAGAGCCTGAACTGAACTGAAGGGAGCCACTGACATGAAAATTTGAGGCAGTCGAGATTTAAAGTAAACTTAGAAATAATAATGACAACCATCATTGACCTCAAAGGATTCGTGTTTGAACGGTAGTTGAACCGCAGAAATGCCATGCAGACAGTCGCACTAAGTTTTGATTGCTTATATGAAAACGATCAGAAAGATAGATGTACTACCTTCATTAATGTTGTCAACCCTTGTCTGCACACATTAGTAAATTAACCCTACTGGTAGTTACATAAAATTGTATCCTAGAGAGTCTAATTTTGTGAAGTGACCAAAGCTCTCTTTTCATTAATTTTTTTGTCTTTTTTTGTTCATATTGCAGAATGTTATGACATTTAATAAATGCTCAATTGCCGGTGTAGTTTATGGAGAGAAAGCTCCCCAGGTAAGAAGGAATTCCTAATCTATAAATTTATGCTGTGTAAATCATCACTAACTTTAGCCTTCACTTATAGTATGTTCAATCGTAAAATGTCTGACTTTTTAGGTGAATAGAGCCTCTAGTTTTGATGACTTTCAAATTTTTAGGGAAAATCACAAGTGCAAAATCTATAAATAAAGTATTGTTCTTACTGTTATGTGACATCTATGTTGCACCTTCACAATATTGTCAAGATACATGCACCAGCAGATCAGGGCAAACCCAAAGGGCCAACTTGAAAGCTCAATTCTTGAAAAAATAATATGGTATGGAGATATATTGGCAACAGTATATAGAAAATGGATCATTTTATTTTCTTGCCCATTTTGTTACCTTTCGGCCAAAGTATCTCAAGCATGAATTGAGCGCCAATCTTTGTAAGAATTATGCACAAGGAAATAGATAATGAAGACTGTTATAAACACATCATAGACTTGAAATTATGAATACATGTTCAAAATCACTCCTACCATCTGGTTTAGACATAATTTGAGGAGAAAAGTCAAGTTAAGTGTTTATTTTGGCGCTTGTGATACTGTAGTTTGAGACCTCATGGTGCCTGTGAAACTTTTTTTCCTTTATTTTTTTATTTTCAATTTAGATGAGACCATGGAGACAGATGTTTTATGAAAAGTCACAACTTATACTTAGGAGTCCCAAACCCCAAAAAATCATTCTGAAACTATACCAATTTGTAAACAATGACGCTTGCGATGCTTTGGCTGTAAGGTGACGATTTCTGCCCAAGCACCGATGTTGTGAAATTAGTTATTTAGAATAGAATATAGTTCCTCACAATTCTTTGTTTTTTGTCTGTGCTTTTAATATGATGTTTTTGTGTTCATGCTGTAATTTATTGTCGTTTGTCTTCAGCCGAAAGAAAAGAAGTGCAAAAAAGAAGTGAATGAAGTCACAAATTTTCCTCTATGGTCGTATTTTTCCCTCCCGACTCTTCTAAAATGTTTCTTCAGTGGTAAAGTAATTTATCAGGCTTAAATTTAATTTTATATTTCCAAATTTCTTTCTCTTTTATTTTTCCTCTTTGGATGAAAGTTTTCACTTTATTTTAATTTGCTGACATCATCCTTTTCTTCGCTACCTTATCTCAGTTAGGTGCCATTCATAAAATATGTAATGCTCTAGGCGTGAGGATGGTCAAGGAAAGCGTCAAGACATTTTGTTTTTACATGCTAAAGGAGGAGATCTACATCCAAAAAGCATTATAAGGATAAACTGGTCGAAAATTCCGAAATTTAGTGTTACGGGTTTTAGGAACTTAATACGTAACAATTTCTTGCAACTGTGGGTGGTATTTTTCCAGCTATTTGTTGAAAAGACAAAAATGTTTCACACTTATAGAATTAATTATCTTGCAGGAATCATGGCTTAAATTCTGGAAATTAATCTGTTGAGAAATCTAGTTCCGAGAGTTTTTTCACCCTAAACTTTAAAACTGGGCATGAAAAGACTGAATGAATTAAGTTTTCTTTATTGCCTCTTTTTATATTATTATCATTATTATTTATTATTAGTCATCATAAAAGTTGATAATAACTCTTCATATTTGACACAAATTACTTACTGAAATTTTTTCTGTTGTGCTTTTTCCACGAGAACGGTCACAAATGTGCATCCTCATTCAATGCTCAAATTGAATGAGCTTCTGGCATTTTGCTGTCTATGTGATGAATAACAAAAGTTGTAACTTAAATAATTGAAGGTCTACCACTTTCTTTATTAACTTTTTTTTAAATTTTTATAATTGACCATTTTTTAGTTCTTACCCTCCATTTTTCACTTTTTAATTCATTTCTAGCGCACTGACACCACTGGATCGCCTGGAAAAATCGTTTATGAAAATCTTGCTTGGAATCAGTACTATGAATCTGATTTCAAATTCAGCGATGCTAAATTAATGAAAGAGGTGCGGAAACTCAATCCCGAAGTCACAAAGTTCTTCCATTGCCTTGCGTTGTGCCACACTGTCATGGCAGAAAACACTGAAGGTACAAAGTTGTTGCGATATGATTTAGAACGGTCCAATTTTAGGGAGCGTATACGCTAGATATATCTAGTAAATACAAAATTCAATCATAAACATTGTGGAAAAATGATTAGTTTTGCTGATGTGTTGTGTGTCGGAAAAAAAAAACCCCAGGTGATGGAACAGCATCCCAAAACATTCTACCAGTTATGTTAACGCAAATAATTCTATAACTATCAGGCTCTAATTGGAAATAAGTCGTCAAAATTGAAATTAAAGGTGAATTATGAGCAGAATATAGGCCTTGTCTAAATATTTTTATGAATTTGATGGCAAACAAGCTGGCATTAGTTTGAAAAAATTAACCAGGTTTGCTTCTTGAACTCCTAATACCTCATTTTATTTTAGTTTTTCGGGTCATCCATAATATATGCGAAACTTGCAGAAAACGTTGTATATCAAGAAAGGAAGATGAACTTGGAATAACTACAGAAAAGTTTTTTGCCTTAGAAAATTAAATTTTTCCCACCTTTAGTGGTATAATCAGGTTTCATCATCAGTATTATTCATAATGGTGTAAATCTTCTTAGTAGTTACATGTCTCAAGATTTCCAGCCATTTCCGTTGTTTATCGGAATCAATAAGATTATTTTTTGGCAGATAAACTAAAATATCAAGCTCAGTCACCGGACGAGGAGACATTAGTTCACGCAGCCCGAAACTTGGGATTTGTCTTCCTTGATCGCACTCCACATTCTATTACAATTGAGGTAAATCGAATAATTTTATACTTTATATCGTATTTGATCCCAGTACCTACAGCATCTTTAATATTTTTCAAATTATGCCAAGAGAATCAATATACAAGTATAACAATATACTTGAGTAAAAAATTGAGTCATTGGAGCCAACAAGTGCAGAGACTGGTATGAATATTTTGATTTAAGGAAACCTCACTGCTGAAAAATTGATGGAGCAGGTATTTAGAGGATCAAAGTCTAGGAAATGTTTGTTTTTGAAAATAATTTGCTATAGGATCAGAGAATGCTATGCTGTATTATCAGAATGTTAGTAGGAGCTCTTTTTAAATCATTCACTGTCGTTTCTAGTCTCAAATACAAACTAAATCTGGAGGTACCTTGTTCTCAAGGATTTGCTGAGTGTTTCCTGTCAAATAATACATTTTCTGCTATCAATCTATCAGCTAAACGTCATTCTCCCTCTAAATCTTTTCTATTGCTCTAAGATCCGTTTTCAAGATCGAAACAAGATGATTTCAATAATGATTAGCCAAGCCTAGCTCTAATTTTTTGACCCATTTCAAACAGCAAATGAATAGATTTTACCAGCTCATCCGCTGTTAAAACTTGAGAAAGATGGATGTTTTATCGGAAATACTGAAGCAATTCAGGTACAAAACCGGATATTTTCCCTGATGGCGACTTAGAAACCTTGCAGAAAATTTAAAAAAATCTGTTCTGAGGAAACCAAATTCAATGTACCAACTGTCATGTAAAATAAGTCTGTGTGAATAGATTAATTCAATTTTTGACAAAAAATCATACAATTTTTACAGGTAATGGGTAGAGTCGAAGTTCATGAGCTACTGGTAATTCTTGACTTCAATAATGAACGCAAGCGGATGTCTGTAATCCTCAAGTACAAGAATCAAATCACTCTTTACTGTAAAGGTAGTGATAATGTGATTTATGAACGGCTGAAACATATCGACAAGTTGGCAGAAACTACGCGTGAGCATCTATTTGTAAGTAAATTGAAGTCACGGATAAAAATTGGGGCCAAGAAGGTTGGACTCTTACATAATTCACTCCAGCTGTAATGAAAGTGAACAAATTTTCATCACCACTGAATAAAGACTTAATGATTGAAAAACCTGTTTTTTAACTGTAATGCTACAAAAAATTATACTGAGAAATATCTAGACATACTTAGTAAAGTTATTAAACCACAGTGATGTACTCAAATCAGGTATGTGGCATTAAAAGACATTGACCTTAATAGTCAACACATTTCTGTGGAGGATATGTACTGATACTGCACTTCTCTTTTAGCACTTAACTTCCAATCATAATACACTTTTCATACTGACCTTAAAGTTTGGCACATTTCTTAAGGTAAAATATGCATTACGCACTGACCATGTTTATTGTTTTTTGTTGCGCTTAACTGTCAACCATAATACTCCTCATCATAGTGTCTTACGTCAAATCATGTTATGTCTGGTCGATTTGCCACCATATTATCAACCCTCATCAGCTTGTCCCCATGAATAGTTTTTTTCAGAAAAAAGGGAGAAAGATTGTGTGCCTGCTATTTTATATTTTGCCTTAAGTTCGTGTGATAGCAAGAAAATTATTATTTATGATCTCGAATCACCGTTCAATATTTTTTCATAATTATTTCAGATGTTTGCATCAGATGGTCTTCGCACACTCTGTATTGCTTCAAGAACAATTAGTCAATCTGAGTATAATGAATGGAAAGAAAGACACCAAGCTGTTGTATCTTCGACTGAAAATCAGGCTAAGAGGCTGGATGAAATTTATGATGAAATTGAAACGGACTTGGAACTACTTGGTAAGATTACGACTAGGTTTGATGCGTTGTGTTTTCTTTCATTGTTTTTGAGGAATTACAAAATAATTGGTTTTTTAAAATAAATGCATTAAATTTTTAATCGTTAGTTTAAATTGGTAATAATTGCCTTATCAAATCTGAAATGCACTGAAAAAAGTGAAAACTTTATTTTACACCTGTCGTTTACAATTTATAGTTCAGAAGTCAAACTATGTTTCCTTTATCGCTGGATGATGACTCTCTGTATTATTCAGGTGGCCAGTAAAAAGGTCCTCGAAATTATTGAAAAATAATCGCCTCATAATAACAAATAATTACCTGATAGTAAGAAATATGAAGATTAGTCAATTTGATACAAATGATATGAATGGTTATTTTTAATGCTTTTAATTGATATGCATATCTTTGAAATTACACAGTTGATGTAAGCTTTTATACTTGAATTGAATATGTAGTAAAGTGCTAGCTCTTTTATCACAATTCGCATTTTCTTTGTGTCATGCATTATTAGGTGCTACTGGCATTGAGGATAAGCTCCAAGATGGGGTTCCAGAAGTTCTTAGAAATTTAGGATCAGCGGGTATACACATTTGGGTCCTTACCGGCGACAAGCAAGGTACGTTTTCAAAAGGAATGTCACATGAAGCTTAGTTTATGGGTTTTTTTCTTACAAATAAATTTAATCATGTTCACTGTCAGGTCGTTTATAGTGACCATTTATTTTTTGCTCGTGCCAGGCTCAAAAAGTCGTAGTAAGTGGCTTTTTGTTAAGTGTGTTTTTATGGTGCTGCTGAACGATAAAAGTGCTGTCTGCAGGTCTTTCACAAAACCTATCAGAATACTAGTTTTATGTGTAACAGGAGGGAAGCACTAGTGTTGCAATAATAGGTGATAACGATGGTTTGAAGTGTTGGTATTTCACTATTTTTTTGCTTGTTTTTCTGACCTGACAGGAACAATTATGCAAAAATATGTTGGCAGTAAACGTATTGAATCTGTATAATTTTCTTGGTCATAATTCTTGGTCCTTGATACAAATTGTTTGATGGTCCAATAAATGATCTGATAAGTCCAAATTTTCCCCCAAAATTTCTCTGATAAACTGTAGTCTCTCAGTTTCTTATGAGTAATCGAAGATAGCAAATAGTAATTATTTCCTCTGCTTCTGATTTCAGAAACCGCAATTAATATTGGCTATTCTTGTCACCTTTTGAATGATGATATGGAAGTATTGGTAGTGGATGGCACAACAATGGAAGAAGTATCAAATCAACTAAAGCATTGTCTCTCGCTGATTCATAATCAGATGCCCACAATGAATGTGCCTGATGCTCTTGTGTAAGTTTTTCAATGGCAATCAATTTTTTTCGACTCATTTTTTACCTGTATATTTATTAATTAATTCATTAATCAATTGTTTCATTAACTGTCAAAAGTTGAGAAAATAGATTTAAACTTAAAATTTAAAATCGTTTAAATGCCCTATACAAAAACCTGTTAAGTAGACAAGATGAGTTTTGTGGTCCTTGCTATACCTTCCGTAGTAACATCCCTCATAGTGTGTTTAAGGTAGGGGCCACAAGGACCCCAAAATGCATCAAGCGAACACAACCAATGTCCATGGGGGTACACTTTGATTGATATATTTACATTTTATGTTTACATACTTGAAAATTCAAAGTCAGTCTATGTCTCCACAAATGATGGCTGTGATTAAAAAAATATTTATAATCGAGGACCTTGTTTCTGAATGAAGGAGACCATCAGGCCTCCTGTGGAAGAAAGTGCATTCTCTTTTTTGCATCTGTAATATTAGTTGAACTGAATAACCTTTGTGAGCATTAAAACTGTTGAGTGGAGTGGCAGAAATCATGCCTTCTATAGCTCTTCTTTAGAAATAGAATAGTCGCTAGTATTTCGTGTGAATATATTTGTAAAAATTTCAACATCATTATTTAGTCATCTCATCCTCTCCCATTTTTCCTATAGGAATGGATTACCAGTTGAGTGCAAACCAGTCATTGACACCTCAAATATAGCCCTGGTCATTCATGGACACTCATTGATTCATGCCCTCCATCCAACTTTAGAAAAACTATTTTTGATTGTTAGCACAAAATGTAAGTTCAGATTTTCTGCTCAGTTTGTCAATAGGTAACGGTTCATAATGAATATACTTTAAGGTTGTAACAAAATATTATTAACTTTGCCACTCAATACTCATCTGTAAAGATAGAATCTTCTCCTTTAACTCATTTGAACTTGTTTGTACAAATTTAACATCATTGGTCTGTTAACATTTTTAAATGAGAAATCAATCTTAGTGCTAATCAAGGTATAAAATATTTTTCGAGTTTGGAACACATAAATTTCTGGTTTTTTTATTGTCAATTCATCAACTCCAGTAGAGGGAAAAAAGCACTGAAAAGTAGCACGAGTGCTGCAAGGAAGAGGAATCATGACTTTGATCTTCACTCAGAGTAGTGTAAAGCTTGAAACATCTTTTTTCTTTTAACAGTTCTATCCTCAACTTACATGATAAATTTCTAAAAGCTGTAATTCTTTACCTTCTGTGTATTGATTGAAATATAGTTAAGTCGTCTTTAGTCTCGCAACTTAAAATGCAATCCATTTCAAGGACAACCAGCTCAATTAAAGAAGTGAAGTTTGGTGATGTTCAGATTTCATCAAAACATATGAAATTAAACCGAATAAATTGTAATAGCTTCCTAAGAGTCTTTTCAATTTACAGGTAGATCTGTAATTTGCTGTCGAGTCACTCCTCTGCAGAAAGCCAATGTTGTTCAGCTGGTGAAAAAGTACAAGGAAGTTGTTGTTCTAGCAATTGGAGATGGAGCTAATGATGTGCCAATGATTAAAGGTGTTTATCTTTTTTGCTTACTTCATCCTCTCTCCTAATTTTTCAACGTGTTCGATTATTCAAATGCCATGTAAATTTTTCTGTTGCTTTTTGAGAATTGAATGTGTCCGTTCATAATGAGTTTATCATTCTTTTCAGCTGCCAATGTGGGCGTTGGGATCTCTGGTAAGGAAGGAAATCAAGCAATGTTATCCTCTGACTACGCAATAGCTCAGTTTCGGTTTCTGGAGAGACTTCTCTTGATTCATGGTAGATGGTCCTATTTCCGCGTCTGTAAATTTCTTCGTTACTTCTTTTACAAAAATTTCACTTTTTCAATGTGCCACTTCTGGATTGCATTTCTCAACGGTTTCAGTGCTCAGGTATTTCCTCAATTTATCATACTTGTCATTATGTTTGTGTCTTTTGCACGTAGTCAATGTTGCAAAACGTTAACTGCCACGGTCTGCCCCACGGCAAGTTGAGAGGTTGAAAAACTTGCAAGTATGACAAATATCACTCTGAGGCAATGGTAGTGTTATCTCTTAGACGCAAATATAGCGTTAGGTTCAGATACGCGATAGTAAAAAGCTCTCTGCACTCGGCGGAAATGATTTAAGAGTGGCCTCTGCAAGTTCTTTAGTTCTAGTCCCAAGGGACCAGCATAGCTATTAACAGGTTAAGGATATAATATTCTCGCTGTCAATATACCTGAAAGTGTCTTTCAACTAATCCATTTTTGAAATATAATAGCTCTAATACAAAGCATTTCATTTCACTGTCTCAAATTTTTCGCAATTCTTCTCTCTACCTCAAGAATTTCAGTTGTCTTGGTAAAAAATACTGACCTATGCATTATGTCTGGTTTCAGTCACTTTTTGACTCTGCCTACATCATAGGTTTTAATGTCATCAGCACAGCACTACCATGTTTGGCCATTGGTGTGATGGACCAAGATGTGAATGAATACTACAGCCTAAGGTATCCTCTTCTCTATACCAATGGGATGCTGAATCTCAACTTTAACCTCGGCGAATTCTGGCATTGTGCTCTTCATGGCCTTCTTTCCGCATCTGTCATATTACTTGTTTGCTATGGTATGTATCTTACTGCAAGTGTTCAGTTTTCTCAATATTCAGTCCATATTTATCTTTGGAAGCTGGCAGTCTCCTCTCTTAGAACGATTTTTAGGTCCCAGGAATTTGAAGTGACTTGTAATCAGAATACTCTCATCATTTTTATACCTTCTATACGAATGAAAATCTGCAACTACTGATCTAATCTTCAATAATTTATTTGATCTCTTGTTCAGGCTGATCGTTTTTTAGGAAACACCAAAAACTTGTTCACAACTTTATAGAGTGCTAGCTCAATTTATTTGGCCTTCAGGATTTCTATAGTTTGCTCTTGCAAAAGAAGGTGTGTAACCCCACCGTAAGGTCGAAATCTGAGACCCATCCTGGACATCTAACTCCAGCGGTCTGTGACAGTAGGAGGTCTTTGCTTATCGGTAATAGTTTGCTTAAGTATATGTCACATCTCTTTAGGGAGATACATTGCTGTAAACCATGGGCCTGGTCTGAAAGCTAAATATAACTGTTTTTCAGGGTTTTCTTATGTTTAACACTGTTTTTTTTACCAAAGCATAAAAGAGCACCAGGATCATTTTTGCGTTGATCGACTTCTCTTATGTTACAAAAAAATATTATTGAAACTCCAATCTAGTGTGCCTGCTCGAGTCCCGGTTAGAAAATGACATTACATTCGAAAAACCCATGCAAAACAGTCAGTTTTGGCTTTGAGACCCACATTCACCGCAATTTATCTCACCGAAGGAATTCAGTGATAGCTAAAACAAATAACTTTCGTTAAAAATAGACCATCTACGGTAAAAATCACGAAGCTGTAAAAATCTAGGGTTGTTTCGATCTCAGCCCCCAGGTGGGGTTTGGGATTAAAGTTTCTGAGAATTGTCAATTGCCAGAAATGGGAATTACCAGAAAGTGTGATTTTTATTATATTTTACAATATTTCAGTATCTGTGTATTAATTCGCTGTTCATTACCTCTCGCTGAATAGTTTCAAGTTTCAGAAACATAATTTTGCTTTTCAGAATCTTATTACATGGAGATTACCAATACTGGCCTAGACTATTCCAGCACCGCTATATTAGGACACGCGATTGGTATCATTTTACTCATTGTTGTGACTGTGCAGGTAATTATGCTGTTCATTTCATATTTTCATAATCGCCCAAAAACTGTAATTCTTGAAAAGAAAAATACCCCAAGACATTGTAGACATTTTCTTCAGGGAAGCCCCTCTACAGTGTCAAAAGTGTTTACTTTCCCTTCTAATTCTATGAAGGAAAAATATAAATGAGGCTTTTGTAGATCAAGAGGGCAAGGAACATTTTTATGTGTTCAAAAATACAAGTTAAAAAAAAAAAATATTGTAAAACAACAGCTTTTGGAGAAATGAAATAGGAGCAGAATTCTTGAAACATTGTATAAAGATGCGTTTCTGTATTTTCATCATGGTATGTTGCATGAGTTGCAGGAACTGTAGAAATGTGTTAGATTCTTTAGTTAAGTTGACCTGAAATGTTTAAGTTGTGCACAGCATGCCCATAAACTTGTTGTGTGTTTAATTTATACCAATCGATTTTTAGTACCTTTTGGATCTCCTTCAAATGACGTGTCTAATTTTTTCCACCCTCTAGGCTGGTTTTGACACTTCATATTGGACCATTTTCAATGTTTTGGCCATAATTTTATCCATTGGAGGCTACTTTTTGTTCTATGCTGTTTTCAATTGGGTTTTTGGCATCCACTCTCTGTATGATACATTTTTTGTAAGTTTTTTCTTCATTCTTTCAAATTGCAGCTATGTCATAACGTAACTTTGGAACAATGAAATATTTATTGATTGATGTCATGAAAGTACTTTTGCTTTTACAGAAAAATCTTCATTGACTGCTTCATCAAATTTTTTTGAAAAACTTTACCCTGCCAGGAATTATGGACTAAGATTTTAATTTCCTCTTTCTGTCAGTACATTTCAGTACACATCAGTACCTTTAGCAAATTACATAATCATTGAATTTATCTTTGCTGCAAAATCTCACACTGATACTATCAGCTCATGTAATATTTTGTGACACTTTAAATGAAGTTTGGTATGTTATACTAAAGCATTCAGTTACTAGGCTTATTTTAATCCTCATGATTTGATTTTCACGAGTCTTAGTTTGATCAAGGTTCAAAAATGTATTGTGAATTTATTTTTTCAGTTGATGGTAGAACCAAAATTCTGGCTCAGTCTGTTGTTGGCGTTAGTTTTAGCATGTGCTCCACACATGATCTTTAGATTCATCATGCAAGATTTATTTCCGTCACTCTCAGATCGTCTGCGTTTGCGGCAACGACTACTTGGATCAAGGTAAAATCATTCATGGCAGTTTACGTAGCGGCTATATTAATTTCCTCTGCCTGCATGATAACTTTTATCAACTCTTGATTTGTTTGGAAGTGCAATGAAAACAATTTTTTTTTTAAAATTCCATCATTCAACCAGAGGCAAAGAACCAGTCTGCAGACTTCAATCAGCACACCCAGCTTTCAATATTATTTGTCTGGGCTCTTAAATAAAAACACATTAAATTATTTTGCCGTACCACTATGTTGGGAAAAAACCAAACTATTTTCTTTAATACATATTCCATGTTTTTTCCTATTGCAGTGATGAAATGAGGCGCCCATCCAATTTGGAACCACACCACCTGCAGTACAGGCCTTCAATGAGATCCGGTTATGCCTTTTCTCACCAAGAAGGTTTTGGGAGGCTAATTACCAGTGGCAAGATGACTAGAGAGGAACCAGAAAAACCAAGCAGTGCTCCAGAAAAATCCTGACATGGTGAGAAATAAATTATTCTCTCTTCATTTTTAACTCCTTTAAAGCTTTGAACTCAAAATTGAACCCCTACTTTTGCAAATAAATGACTTGAGTCGGTCAAAGTGTATTCCTTTGGGTTTCACAGTGTGTTTTCTGTTCAAAACGAAAATGTTAATTTTTAGCCCCTTGACAAAGAGGCTAAGAAATTTTCCTCTGCATACAAAGGCCCCTTTTTGTATGAATGGTTATAATTTTTTTTAGAGTTTTATGTAAAAATCCCTAGAGCCCAAAATTTAACTGTGAAGAAAGGTGAATTTTTGCGAACAGATGTAGTGTACAATATCAATGGTTTGAATGCGGGGAAACCTCGCTTTGGGACGAGATTTCCTCTGAAGGTAGTTCTGATCTATCCGCAGCAGTTCATACATATTTATTCTCAATCTTTGAATTTGCCTTTAAAAGTGAAATCATAATCGAGTTGTTCCAATCATCGACCAAAAATCAGTGAACAACAGTTACTTGTCTTCAACTTTTGTCAGCTGTGAATTCGCCCATTATAATTTAAGTACGTGTTGTGCGGACTGCATGATGGTTGATATTAAAGCACAGCCGGTGGTACCTAGCTAAAAAAATCACAATAGCTCTAAAACTTAAAGTAGGTAACACTAACTATGCCAGTACTCTGAGTAGCTTGTGCGGTACCCATCATCATCTCTGGTGACATCGTGTTCACCAGGTTTCTGCCAATTTAATGTCAAATGAAAAGATTTGTCATGGTCCCTATCCTATTGGCTATGCCTATATTTAAGGGCATCCTCCGAACTTTGAGGTGGAATTAAGATGTAGGAAAATGTATGATTCAGTTGTGCTCAAACCATAAAATCCCAGCTGAAGATAAGAATAAGAATGAAACATTATGAACTATGTGAACATTTTTATGCTTAAAACTAACTTTCTTTTTAAACACAACTAATCTTATTTCCAGAGGCCAGCTTGGCCAAACGAAGGAATGGAATTACAACAATTACAAGACCTCGTTTGCCAAGCAGTTCTTAAAATTTCAACGTTTCCTGGTAAATTACATAATGGCAATCCTTAGAATCACAAGAAGTATATTTTTATCGTCATTTAAAGTCAAAGCTCATATTTTCTTATGCTAAAAAGAATATAACTGAAGAAGAGAATCGACTCACTATTAGAAAATGCTTCATCCATTTGTGCATACTTAGATCTTTTTAACTTAATTTTTGTCTTTCAATGAGCAACATGATTAAATAAGTGCACATAATAGAGACGGCCATGAAACTGATGGAATGTTTCAGTGCATATTTACTACTTTTTTGAAAAATGTTGTGAAATGCCTTTGTAGCACTAATGAACCAGTATAAATTAGGAGTTAGGTAATTATCATGTTAAATTTTGCCTTCAGGTAAATGTTTTTGGTAGAATTATTTCATTCTCCAAATATAGGCTCCATTTTTTGTTTTTTAATAAAACTGGGAAAAATGTATTCTCTAGCTGGTCATTAAGAAACAAGGGCATTAATCTTTATTAATCATTTTCTGTAGTCTGAGTTGCCAGCCATGTGTGCAATTTTTTTGCAACCAAATTTTAGCCAAATGAATACCTTTAAAATTCTGACTTTATTTTTTCGATTTTAAATTCTCAATGTGCATAATGAATATGAATTGTAGAGATGCTTGTTTGAAACTTGCATCTAGGCTGCCTAGACGGGGACCCTAAGGCATGAAAGACTCTGAAACGATGGCATGTTCATGTGATCTGGCAGAGCAAATGGCACATTTCAATTAACTTGCTTTAATCCTTGATGCCTTTGCTGTGCTAATCTCATTTGCAAATCATTTTGAGACATGAAATTCTCTGAATGAGATGACCTGTGTAGTTCAAATTTGCTTTTAGACTCTTATCTTAAAATATCATGTGCCTAACTGCCTACCCTACATTTATGTTCTTACACATTTTCCCCGCAGTGCTGAAAAACACTTGAAAAAAAGGTTTAGTTTAGGTAAATTATTTAAATGAACTCGAAAACCAGGGTCAGAAAAATTTCAGCCTGAAGTTTACATATAAGTAGTTGCCATCATTTTGCTGATGTCAACCTCATGATTTGGATGGGGACACAACATGTCAATTTTCACATGTGATTTCCTTTGCAAGAGTTGGGCGCTCTCATAAATCATCCGCTTGTTAAGCAGATGTTTAGGATTCCGCTTTTATCTGTAGAGATCTGGAAATTCCGACCCAAATTTTTTGAATGGCAAAAAATTGTATGTAACGTCAACATCTTTGTCTCCGAGAAATTTTGGTGTTAATACTAGGTATTGCACAATCATACTTGAGAAGATGTATTAATTGCCAGCACCTCTTGGACAATGATCAAAAATTCTACTCCATCGGAAGGAGTCGGTCCAAGAGTGATGATTGGATTTTCTAGAAGTTCATGTAGCTCTGTGTAACAATTGTAAATTAATTTACTATTCCTTTCAGTTTTCATTGCTTGTTTAGCAACAAAAAAACCATGTATTATTTCTGTCTTATTATGCTGTGTCACAGAAGAGAGCTATGAGAGCAGTCTGGGATTAGCTTCAAGGCACTTGAGAGTATGTCTGTCATGCTAAGGAAGACGTCAGATGAGCCTTCAGACGTTGCCAAATTTCCTTTGATAAAATTAGAATTTTCAGGAAATTCTGTGAAAACTTTTTTTTAATATTTTACGGAAACTTATTTGCCACCAGATCTAAATTATTTGAAAATTTCAAGAGATCACATCCATAACTCTCTTCAAAAATAAACATTTTATCAGAGGAAAATTAGCAAATCTCGAATGTTCCTACAGCGTTTTTCCTTAGGTCAGCAGATGTGTTAACAATGGCTCATATAGAAATGCACTTGAGGCTCTCTTCCGTGACGCAGCAGTATTCTATCCTAACTATGGTTATTATGAACACGAGATGCTCATTTCTCACAACTTAAAAATAAGTTCGTGCAAATCTTATGTTTGTCAAAGTATTGAGGTTGCAAGATAGAACAAAAGAAAAAATATTGTCACATTGAAATGTAGAAATCTTTCATTTACATTTATTTACATTCTCTGTTTGGTTTTTATACAGTAAAAAAACTATCCGAGAGGTACTTCGCTTTGCTATGGTACCTTCAGGATATTGGAAATTTACATTTATGTTATTTGACTAGCAAATTATTTGCGTACATTTTTTTATTTTTTAACAATCATGAGAACATATGCTTCAAATTCAACTTAGATATTAAAAAAGCATCATCAACGTGACTCCCTGTGATATAAATTCCTATGATACATATGTAGTAGTGTGCATTTGTTACATCCTCTTCGTTCACCAAATAATTCAATTTTTTGTTTGTTTTCATGAACCAAAAAAATTGTTGGTATTGTTCAATTTTTTGTTTGATTTTGGTGTTGTGTTATTTAAAATATGGCAAACCTTATCTTATTTTTTGAAACTTGCAGTCTTTTCCAGGAGAAATTCCTATACGTTTAACAACTCAGAATTTTAGAAAAGAAAGAGACAACGACAGTTAATAATTGAAGAATTTGTGAATTCTAAAGGGAGTGCAGACAGCATATGGGTTGAAGTCTCTGGCAGGGTTTGATGAGATTTAAGTATTTTCTTTTATCAATTTAAACCCAACAAAGTGAGCTTTAAATTGCCATTTTTTTTAATATATTAGCAGCGCACTAGCAAGAAAAATTTGGCAATGCATCACCTGTAGATCAACCTTGACTGGCCCTAGACTTAGAGCTGAAATACACAAAAGGCAAAAGGACAGGGTGTGACTAGATAAAAGGGGGGAAAGGAGAAACAAATCATTGTTTTAAACAATGTACAATAGATGATAGCAAGTCGCTGTGAGTGAAAAAATAAAGAAATGCAAAATTAACAGGTAAAAACTAAATTTTCTGAGAGGAATATTTGCCAATAAAGATGTGATGCGTGACGCAGTGAAAAGAGGTACCTAATGGTAGTGTAACAACAAACCTCAATAATTTTGCCTTAGTTGAAACGTTTTTCCACCAACTTGGGCAGAGAGTGACTTAATTTTCACCAATTTTTAGAGAAGAGTGTTGCAAAAATAGAACATCGAATTTGCAAGAGCCTGGCAAGTCTTGAGTTGAGGATGATTAAGAGAGGAACATACTTTAATTTCATTAAATTCTACACAGAGGTGCTTTTTAAAAAAGGTTTCGGGTCCATGTTGTTTAAACCCTATGATAATTTGGTGAGTACATTCATACTAACTAAAAACGTACCCAAGGATCACAGGGAGCTAAGAGATGAGCAACATCAATTATATATTAAAAGAGAATTGGTTTTTAGGTAAAAAATATGGAAAATGTACATGTTTGAATATGTATTTTAAAAAAGAAATAATAATAATAATCTTATCTACCTCCCAGAGCTACTCATATTTATTAGGCAGCTGCTTTTGAAAAAAACTTTGAATTTAGCAGCGCACACATATGAACTTTCTGACTTACTTTGCTGTCAATGACTAAACATTTACTGGAGATTTCAGATACATTGTTTGATAATGAAAATAAAAAAGGATTTGACTGTTCACAAATTAAAAATATATACTTTTGCGATAATTTAGTTAAATTTAAATCAATCATTTGTATACTACTTGATGTTTAAAAGTGCAATAAAGTTGTAAATTATTCATTATTCTTTTTTCCAGTCTAAGCCAACCGTAAGTAATGCTGTTATTCATTAGCCTATTTCACTAAATGATACAATATTTTTGACTGCTCCGCTTCAGAAACACAATCGAGTCCTCTATGGGAAAAAACTGAATCTTTAACTTACAAGTAGAAAATCAAAAATTTAAAAAAGCGAGGTTACTTCCTTTGATGGATGGTCTGTTACCTCCTAATAGAGAGGAATATTCCACCATTTTTAATTTATAACAGCTCAAATACAGCTGATCAGATTGTATCTATGTATGCAGAAAATTACTTTTTTACATGGGATATCTTTAGAATTGGAGAAAAAAGAAAGTAAATTTTTTTTAGTAAAAATCTAACAATATTCCATGAATTACAGAGAACCGACTGATCAATTTGTTCTGTTGAGGCTGAATAGGAAACTTGGAAAAATTCCAAGGTTTCTCATTGAGTACAATAGTGGTTTCCATAAAAAATGCTGATTTCTAAAAAATTAGTCTGTTAACTAAGACTGAATTATTCTAGCAAATGAATTCCCTTTACGTATTGGAGAGTTGGTAAAATTATTCCATAATAATAAATCACGGTGCAATCGTGACTAAATTCTAGAGACATACATACTTGTTTCTCAATCTAATAATTTCCAATCACACTATCATCTTAAATTGAAACGTGAAGCCATTTCTTGAAAATCTGTGTAATTGCTATCTCAATGAGAAGAGTAGTTTCAAAAAGAAATAGAAATTTTTAAAGTGGCCTGCTTCCTCATAATGTTAAAACTTAAATGTTCTGCTCCACATGAAAATCAATAATTACAGAAAATCAATGAAGTTATTAGAGATTTATAGGGCATACAACTTACACTCTCTTCTGTCACCGGTAAAGATAATTTAATGTTGACTTTAGATTATTAAAAAACTTTTCTTGGAAATGATATCAGTCATGAGGACAACATGGACTGCAATATTAAAAGCCAAACACCTGAGAGACAACACAGTCTATGTGATATTTTTGGCAATTATAATTCAATGAAGGTAATGATAAAATGCACTCCACTTAAATGCATTTTGCGATGATTCTTTACAAATTGAATCTCACAGATGTTCGGCTTTGCCCTCAGGTAAAACTGATTCTTGGACGAAGGTATTCAGATAAGTATCATCAGTTAATTTCATTATCTTTGACATGTAATACTTCCAGTTCAGCGATTTTCATGGGAGAGCATTTTTCTTTCACTGTTTCGATGATTCTTAAGAGAAAAAAGATGAAATTGAAGAGAAAAAATGTATCACTTTCTTAGACCTCATGTTTACGTTGCAAATGATTGTGTTGTAAGTCAAAACAAGACACTAGAGCTAGCAGTCATCATCATATTCTTCAAAAGCCAATTCTACTGGACTGAGTATGAGAATGCATGATGATGGCTCGAAAATTTTTTCATCATGAAACAAGCTTAGAAAAAAGCAACTCATGATAGGAAGAAACAGTCAGCTCATCTTAACACTTTGCTTGCTGATAAGTTTTCATGTTTCTTTCTGTGACGCCGGACAAACACACCGTAAAATTGCTGAACAATTGAAAGTACTATAAAGCCAGGGTCAAACAAATTTTTAGCTCAGAGTTCACTTGCAGTCATCATTTGTTGATATCATTGTCTAAGATCAATATGAACAGTGTCAGCCTCATGAGCTCCACGTAGCGCCACAGAGACACTCTGGTGTCAGGCCTATGGAGCTGACATGGCATTTAAAGCATGCATCTTTCTAAATGGCTAAACCTCATCAGATGTAATAAATTCTTTTTTTTTCTTCAAGGAGAAGTTTGTAATAGATAAAATAAAAAAAAATTAACTAAGTAACCTATAACCTTCGGTGGTGCTTCTTGGCGGTCGCAAGCTTTGACAGCCTGAAGTGCTTGGTACTGGCTCAAAATCGCCGCAAGGTGCAGGGGGCTGTTTTGAGGGAGTTTTTAGTGGTAATGGGGGCAAAGGAGGGGCAAATGCATCAGCAATGTTGATCATGACAAATTTAGAAACTTTCAATATTGCCCAGTGAGTCATAAATTGAAAGATGAGCGCTCCAAAACCTTTGTACAGACCTAGTGTTCCTTCCTCTGAAACAGTGGTAGCATAACAGTCAAATACGCCTCCATAGTTCGTCAGAATAGGTATGACTGCAAAGCCATTATCTAAATTGTCTATGATCGTACGAGTGCCTTGAAGGTGAATTCTGCAAACAAAACGGAGCATGATAAGTTAGGGCGATCAGGACTTCTGTGAGTGCATAAATGATACATCCTTGGTTATTCCTTCATTACAAGAGCTTCATAAATTTTTTTAATTGTTGAAAGGAGCTCATTCACCGTTCGTGACTGTTTGGCTTACTCTGACTTGGGAATGAAAATACATATCGATTACTTCATAAATAATGTCAAATTGATAACTTTCAGGGGTCTCTAACTATCTGTCTTAACTGTCAATTTCCTAAATTTCTAGAAACATCATTTCTTATTTAAAAAAAAAACAATTTTCCTTGAGTGTCTTTTGACACTGGTGTCCTGGCGGTCAAAGGTATTCCTCACATGAGTAGTCTTACATTCAGACTCCCGACAATGTTTCCCCTGTTGGTTTGTATTTTTTTTTTTTGGTATGTGAGTTTTAAATAAACAAAGATACTTAATTCTTAAAAAGCAGCTCACCTGTGAATAATAGTTTCAAGTGGATAAAATACTGCATCAGAAGAAATTAAAGCAATCACAGATGCAGTGACTTCTATGTCTTGAACTGATTGCTCTGCAGGTAACTCGTTGGACAAAGAACTCTGGAAAACAGGAGCATGACAAAAGTGTGACCAAGAGATGCAGAAGGAAAGAGAGACAGAAAAATACACAAGGAAAACTAAAGACGTAATGGAGACTGCTTTGCGAATCATTGACCAACTTTTTTAGTCGAGAAATTATTCATAAAAAGAGTAATAATAGTAAATAAAAATCAAAGGTGACACATTTTATATGTCCTACATTTGTCATGGTGAACATCAAACACGGGCAACTTATCTTTCAGAGAGTGCTGAAATGAACATAATTGAATTAGAGAAAGTATTGCAGACAATTCTTAATACATAGCCCAACACTAATTTTGGTTTTTAACAAGGAGTGTAAATTAAAGGGGAGAAAGGAGAAGGGTTTCTAATTACTCCGAGTGTTTTAAAATTTCACCTGGCAAATTACTCTTTAATAAGGGACGTATGCTTTACTTAAAAAAGAAAAGGGAATTCCAGTGAAATCGCAAAGGAAATTAAAAAAAAAAAAAAAAACTGGCAAAAAGTTTGTAATTGCTTGTGGGCAAATGGATAAATCATCAAAAGGAATTTAGAAGCATTACAGTACAATTAGGTCCTTCTGGCTTTCACTTTTCTACTGGAGAAATTCTACAGAACAGAGAGGGAGAGAGAAAAAAAAACTTTACGTTCAAATGTACTGATGAGTCTTTCATAGTTACGCATGTAAAAAAGAAAAAAATCTTGAACGAAACTGGGCAGATGCCAGTTCCGAGCACATGTAGATCAGCTCGGCAAGAAATGGTAAGATCCAGATTAGCCCAACTGGGAGTTGGAATTGGGTTAATTTAAATCTGCCTATTATAACTCAACAGATGTAAAAATAAATAAAACAAATATCTGAAAAGGACTTAAGTTTGGCCATAAGAGCCACATATCAGATTATTTTTTGTAGCTAATAAAGAAGCAGCTGACAAATGGTCATGCTTTGCTCTCAATAGGGGAATATTCTACCCAGGAATTGGGAGCTACTCATAGTAGAAGCAAGTGAAATCTTGGCCTAGCAACCAATTCTGCATATAAGTTAAGCCGCTTCGGAAACCTACATCTACTAGAGGATAATTAAAATATATTTCAGTTCTGAACCTAGAGATTTAGATATAGGCCTGTAAGCTTACCCGTTTTCTCTGCTCTATCTTCTGATTTAAATGTATAATTCTTATGGCTACTTCTCGAACCACCATACTGAAGTAGTGTTTAATTGCTCCGAACAACACTGTTGGTACAACCAATGCCCAGAAAGGCAGCATACGGCCCTTGTAAGGGCAACCCCATGCAAGAAACCGATCAAAGGCTTCAACAAAAAGAGCCAGCGGACTGGGATCATCACTTGCAATTTTGCTTTGGACTGTTTCAACTAAGCTTGCAGAGTAAAGTGGGGTTACGATCGCTAAGCTGATGCTGTAAGAGAAACAATGGATTAATTAAAAGATGAAATTAGCAAAAAATCGGTTCGAATTCCTTGAAATTACAAAGTCTGCACGCTTTTCTAGAGTTAGGTACTTTATTTAGTGCACTTATAATCAAACCATTTTTCAAAAGATGAAACTTCTGGGTTTCTTTTTCTTTGGAATCAACACTTAAATTTTTGTCAAAAAGGGATTATGCTCGTTAAAGGATACACGGTGACACTGCAGCATTTAAATATTATTCAAATATATTTAGATCAACCATAGTCAGTAAGTCAGTTTAATGGGGATTGTTTGTCACAGCCAAATACTTTAATGTATTTTTCAGTTGAACTTTTGCACAATTCCATAAATCTATTTCAAGGAGCCTCCATAAATGTATTAGATATTTGACTGCTTTTTTTTATCCTAGAATGCTCTTATCTACAAAAAAAAAAAGAAGATCTAAAAGCATAACTGATCAGAAAATTTCGAAACTGATTGTGAGACAATGATTAGTGGTAGTAAAGTTCCCCTCATAAAAGGAGAAAAAAATTGTCAAGAAATATTCTTACATTATTTGCAAGCCAGATTTCACTCACTCGAGCATTTGATTGGAGCTCCATTTCATGCAAATAAATTTTAAAAAAAGAATGAATAAATGAGAGTTTTCATTGAAAGAAATGAAGGTTGCACTCCAGCATAATTGGGTAAATGATTCTTGAAGCATAAGCTGAGGTAGTGGTGACATAGAATTCTGCATTTCATAATTACTAATCCTAGCATATGTAAACGGAATTCTGTTCGTCAGCTTACAGATCCGAAATCACCTTTTCTGTGCACATATTCACTCACTACAATTTTCCTATTTAATTGAGATGAAAATGATACGAAGAGGGAAAATTATGTCACATAAAATGAAAACTTACCATTTTAATAAGATGTGTTGACCCCAAGTTTTGAGTGAGCTATTCCAAGTAACTTCCCTACAACATAGAATATACTTTAAGAAAAGGGAGAGGAGCATGGAGATTCATTTACAGACCAATTAAATTGGATGAAAATAAAAGGAAAATTATTTTTTAATTTGAAATACAATAATGCTGCTACATTAATCAAATTTCGAGAATTTTAACATTTATGGTATTATCAATGTAACAAATTGATTGTTTAAAGTACTCCGCAGGTAGATAGTCAAATAAATAATTTTGTTTGATGCTCACTCAAAAATTTGCAAATCCAGAGGAGAGTTATGTAATACACTTTCGACAAGATTCTATCGATATAACTCTAATGATTCCTTCAGTGTCCTACCATAGCAATTAGATTTGTTCTCTCTGATATTCAATTGCCAAAATTTCTGCTTCTTCAGGGCAGGGAAAAGCTAAACATATTCTCAATTTTAGTAAAAAGATTTCAATACTAGCCCTGGACTCACTTTGGAAGTGGAGTAAGCTTGGACAAGACATCTTCCACGAACAGTGTTATTCCTCGAACAATTAATACACTGCCAATGCCCTTCCACAGACAGGATATCCCTTGTCTCTGGTGTAGCCGTACTATTACTGGCACAAATGAGAACGGTAGTAAGTGGTAGTATCGGGAACAATGGTGGACCTATTTGAAAAACAAATTTCAATGAAATAGGTTATATTTGGGTAGAGCTCGCTCATTGTATGTTGAGGCAAACATCAAAGTATTGTTTATGCCACCACTCATCAGTGAAGCTATCTAACTGCATGTATTCACCTGTTCAGTGGTGCTAAATCAGAGCTAAGCAGAGATTTATGTTTGTCTCAACACACTATACGCGAGCCCTACTCAGGATTATTTAGGTATTTTCTTTTTCTAATCCTCATACTAAACTTGATGCACTGAAAAATAAATAATCGATTGGCAACAGCCAAGAAAATTTTGAACACTCCGATGCATCTATTTGTACCTACTGAAAGTCTGCGATATATATGACAGATAAAAGAATTTAAACTATTTTGCTGAGCAAGGAAATGAGCTCAGCAAGGCTGGTTTCTTCATAATATTAAACAATGCTACTTACTGGCTAATCCTATTATCTAGAATTTATTTAGTTGAGTATGAACAGATCTCTGTCTAAAATGTTTTTTGAATCTGCCAAAAAAAATGTTTGCCAGGTACAGACCTGCCCTGGTGAAATTTGGAAGATTTTTGAGCCTTTGTCTGAAAGAATCTAGATCTGCCTATTTAACCATGAGAGAACCCAGGTCGGCAAGGAAAATTTTATAACATCAACATGTACAATCTTCTGGCGATACCTTTAACATTCTTTAATTCAAATCTTTTTAGTTTCACCATCAATGTTGATTTCATGATTCATACTAAGCTAGGTACTTACTTGGCACTGGCGTCTGAGGACAACAAACGGATATGTTAATAAATGCTCTGCTGCAACGGAGACAAATCTTAATCCAGCACTGATGTACTTCTTTGTATTACCTAGGAAATTCAAATAAAACATTTATTCAATGGCTTCAAATGGTCTACAACACAAACACACATGGTCTACATGGATGACTAAAAAAGAAGGGATGAATTTCCAAATTTAAGGCATAAAGGTGCTGAGAAGCCGGTAGAGTCTATGTAATATAAGATTAAGCTCTTCTCAAGGTGAGAGAGAAAATCCACCATCATTAAAATTTTACACTTACTTTCAATGCTGAACTGAAGACAGCTGATTATTGGTCGCACTTCAACAGGGTGCAAACTTGGACAGGCAGCAATGCTGTTCAGTACTGTGGTGATGACAAATGATTGTCTCCGAGAAAATATGCGTTTTCTACACTTTTATTCAAATTCCACCCCTTGCTTAACTTATAAATGGTTCCTGCATGACGAGTGAGGTAGGCTCACTTGCCACCGAACTTAGTGCCGAGTCATAATAACTTAGCAGTTGCCCATGCAATAATTGCTCAGTCACATCCACAAGCTAATAGAGAGGAAATTCAATTGTCATTGCTATCAGTGATAGTAATGAACCTGTAAAACAAATTTAAAAAGTGTGGAGGCAAATCTCCTCTTCAGAAAAAGCTTGGTGTACATGAAGGACACTACATGATCTTGTAGCCTTCCAAGTCAGTGAGTAATAGGAAAAATACACAAATTGACCAAAAGTTACGCAGGACAGGCTTGAGCTAGGATGGGCAGATTAAGGGAATGCTTAAGATATCAGAAGAGAACGGTATGAATATCTAACCTTCATCGATCGGCGATGACAACTGATTGATTCTTCTTGAGGTAGGGAATGAAGCGAGTGGAGGGCAAGAGCGTGGAGGTGCTCCTGCTTGCTGGCTGTATGTTACTTCGACTCCCTCCCATCCTTTTGGATATCTTGGACCAAAATACACTTCAGGTCCCATGCCACTCATACCTGCCATGTTGAGGTTAGAATTTCAGATCAGGGGTCACTCATTTCCTCATTTCAGAGGGCACAAAGGATATAAATGTAATTAGTGTACACTATGGGAACCTCAATCAGAGGGTATGATAAATGATTGCACTGAAAAATTACACTAATTACCAAAACTTAGGGACTTTTTCAGTCACACATGATGTAACATAATCACAATAATCAGCTGATGGATTTTTCAATGTTTTCTTTCTAATCAGTTCTATCACAACGCGCTCTACAGTAATTTTCCGAACCAAGACTGCGCAATCAGAGAGTGCTGCTCTCTAGCGTAAAACACCACAACATTATTATGGCGCTTTTTGAATAGTTCCTCCTCTCAAACAGCTGCATATTTTCAGTAGATTTGAACGTCCGAGCGAACAGGTTGTTCCGAAGCCGAAGGTTGTCACGCGGCTGTTTTTTACCTAACAAGCCGAAGTGGTGTTTATTCGAGGTTTTGACTTTCGCTCAGATCCGTCTAATTTCCGCGTTCGAGAAATTACCTTTCAAGAGAAGATTTCGCGATTGCGACTAGCTATTCTCTATTGTGTGTGTTAAAAGTGTGCATATTTGGATTATTCTCGGAGATTGAAACCAAGCAAAGGTAAGGTGCTCCTTGCATTAACATATAAATGCATGTTTTACTGATAAGTCCCTTTACGCTTTTTATTTTCCTTTTTTGTTTGCCACTTTATTCTTTACGTGTCGGCGCCTTTTGAAACGTAGAACGGATTGTTTTATCAGTTTGGTTGTGTTATTAAGGCACCATCGCGTTCTCATTGGAAGTCTTTACCCATTACTACTTTTCATGGCTTTTACAAATGAATCAAAATTCCATGAAATCATGCCTACAAATTTGAATGACACGCATATTTAGGTACTTCTGTCATGTACTTAAGTAGTGTACAGAGGGAAAATATCTGCAGAGGGAGATAGAAAGTAATGAAAAAGTTACCAATGCCACATGAATTTTCAGATAAAGAAGTTGCATCCCACTAGACCCAGGTAGAGTCAATCAGCAGGATAAGAAGTATTCTGACTCAACAGGATATCATTCATGCTGATTTCAGTATCCGGCATCATGCTGCCAGGCAACAGTTCCTATGACCCGATAGCACCCTGACATGATGCTGATATCAGTATGGCATCATCAGCAAAAAAATGGGGGGGGGGGGGGGTCGGGGAGGAGGAGGAAAGGATCAAATTAGGGTCCATTACTTAGGTCTAATCTTGAATGGCTTTAATCTATTTTTTGAGGGCCCCCTCTCGTCAGGAAAAATCCTTCAGTGGTATTATGATTCTTTCAGCATTACATGAAGAGACTGGCTCTTTGATAATTGTTTCATTATGATTAATGATGTTCTTAAGTATCAAAATTACTATAGACGACAACACCTGTATCAGTTTCCAGGATTGCGCCCTCGTCAAGTGTTAAAACAATTGTCGACGGATGTATGCGAAAAGGTAACGATGTTGATCGCGAAATCAGGATGCAACTATTGTCACTCGGCGACTATTGCTTTGCGTATTGCATAATCTCACGGATGAAGGCGCACTGGGCATATTTCCCGCTCCCTTTGAGCGTGGCATGCAGAGACGTTCGCAAACTTACGCATTTTACATCCGTCAATCCAAGCAGCAAAACCATCTGAAAAATTTCAAAATTAATTGACTCCTTATACTTTTTTTTTTTTTTTTTTTTTTTTTTTTTTTTTTTTTTTAATACAGTGGATGTAAGACGTCAGAACAGAAAATGTGTCCATGTTTTTAAGTATACTATCCCGTAAGGAAGAGCACAGTGGAAGTGAGGGAGAGACTTCCAGAGAAAATCGATTGAAAAATTGTAGAATAGTCGAGAAACATACCGGCATCTACACATCTGAACGACTGCACCTTTATTCTAAAAGTCGACTTTTTCGACTACACGTAGGATCGGTTGAGGTGGGTGTGCACTAGACAGCTCAGGTTGTCTAAATTCCTAGGTAAGGCTAGAAGAATCCTTGACCTGGTCAAAAACCTGTCCGCCAATAGGCGAACTGTCAACGAATCCCATCTCTCGGAGTAACGGCAGGTAACAGGTAGTGCCCTGATCTCCACATTCATACACACATACGCATTTGTGAACCCGTGGTGAAGGGATGTTCGATTCCATGGACTCGTCCAAGCTCCTCAAATGATGAGTCATCCTTGTTTTCTTCCCCCGTTTATGGCCCTCCCCAGAGCTGCGTTGTTCGCAGCGTGGCGCTTCCCCCCNCTGCCTTTCTTCCTTCTCTGTTGTAAGTGTGATTTGAGGGTAGCCAGAAGTCCTCGGAGGGCGGTAATTACGCAAGATAGGGGTCGCTTGTCGGTTCTTGTTGCCACTAGAAAAGAAAGAGGAAATCATCAAACTGATATTCTGTAACACGTTATTTTTACCGCACACGTTGCAACACCGTCAATCTGGGTTGCCAATTTTTGGGTCGGAATTTTAAGATACAACTTGAAACTTCCTTGACTTTTTATCCGCCGAAGCGTACTTCACTACCTCGTGTATCTTGAACTCGCCTCGCTTAGGATGAAAAGTACACCCTAAGTCAAATGGACGTCTTATAAAATTCCGTTTTTTGTGGTCTATTTCTTCAATCACTTCGTATTAACTCAATCAAGTCCTATATATTACCCTAGCTAAGCGTAGGGCACGTTGATATTAGAAAAATAAAATAATTATTTGTAAAAATTGGGACTAATGACGTTGAGATAGCACTTCTGACAACCTCGAGACGTTAAACGCAGACATATTAAAATTTACCGTTTAAGGTTATGAAAGATTAAATCCTTTAACTTAAACAACCATCCCTACTCCCAAAAATAAGAATGTGATTCGTGTGCTAAGCAACGAGTTTCCTGAATCTTGTTGCCAAAAGCTGTATAGATACGAAAGAAAATTTTACCTAGTAAAATTTAATTTTGACTGAAAATGTCACCGAAATGTAGTGTTCCCTGCAATTTTTAGGGACGGAGTATCCAACCCGCAATCCGATAAGGAACTCTAAAGTTCAGCTTGCATCATAAATATCTTAATTTCCAAAAATTTCAAAACGGAATTTTAAGCAAGTTATCTGTTTCTACGGCTTTTCGTTGTCTCCTAGATCTGTTAAAAGAGTTTTAACGAATTCAAGGCAGGCAACAAAGATTTGGGCCTGAACTCCCATAGGCTAAAGAAACACCAACATTCGATCGTTGCCAAATTTCCTCGTAAAAAAACGTGTATTTTTAAGGAAAGTTATGCATATTCTTCTTGACATTTTCAGATATTCCAGACTAAATCGCGAACAGAATTGTCTGAAAATTTTAAAGAAAAACATTCACAACTTTCCCGGTTTATTTTTTTTTACATGGGTAAGGAAATACAGCTACGTTTGAAGGTGTATACGGCGTTCTTCCTTAGCACGACAGTATAGGGGTTGAGAATACGGTTACCTGTCTCACACTCCCCCTTCTTCTTTCACCCTTTTATAATCCTTGAGTCAGGTACGACAGTGGCATTCGATGTCACCGATGAGCAACCGCATTGTCGCCGACGCGACGTGGAAAAGGAAAGTAGAGAAAGGCGTTGGAGTCTGGAATTTGAGGTTTTTGTATCGGTGAATAGCCATGAAGCTCATTACATTGAGTCGGAAACGTGACCGAGGCTCCGGCGAGTTTTATTAGGTCCCGTTTGTGTTCCCCCGGCATTTTTCCTCGATTTGAGCCGCGGTCCTTTCCAACTCATAGTGTCAAGGCACCTCGCGCCCTGCTGCCACGTAGAAAAAGCTCTATAACTATCCTCATCCCACCTATAATAGTTACCCGACCTATGTCAGCAATTCTTTCGTTCACGATAACTATCGTTAGATTTACGTTAGCTTCTTCAAATTTTGTCCATTTTGGTCTTATGAAGAACTGTATAAATTTTCGGTTAAATCGCATTTACCGTTTACTTATAAACGGTAATTAACGTAAGTGCCCTACTTACGCTGTTTTCCACTAAACTGTTTTTATGAAAGTTCCATTCCTTGGTTTCCTTGGTAACCTTTGTTTGCTATCAGCTGATGTTTTATTTCAATTTATTTTTTTCTTTTTTTCATTTTTTTTCTTTCTTTTTTTAATAAATCATTGCTAGGTTAGTTCTAATTTTTTTGCCAGCATTTATTCTACCCCCCCCCCCCGTAGCTCATTTTTCTAACTCCAACACCCTCTCCCCACAACTCATTTTTCTATCGATTTTATCATTTTTTTTGTATGGCATGTCTTACTCCCCTACCACCCTTTTTTTCGGGGCTATAGATATTTTAGCGGCCTCTAGACCCGTGACTCCAGTCACGGGCATTTCGCTAGTACTCAAAGAAAAATCATTTTTAAGACGCTCGATGGACGCGGTGAGGAAGGAGAGTAAAAGACGGTCGATGGGCAAGAGTGAGGAAGGAGAGTTCAAAGGTCAGAGTTTTAATAGAGTGGGTCTTTACTTTTAGAGGCCTTCGTTTAGTCATGGGCAGCTATATGTGGCCCTGTCAAGATCGACCTCCAAAAAAGGAATCAAAATTCAGAACAAGAGAAAGTCCTTAAAAATATTGTTTGGCGGGAAATTCTTTGAAACATCGTTTTGTTTTTTAATTAAAATTATTTGCTCATGCAGTAAGCGCCAACGGGCGGTTTTGACGATTTCGCTGGCCGCGAAGCGGCCTTTGGGGGCCTGTAGCGCTCCGGGGTTGGGCCGCGTAGCGGCCAGGAGGCAGGGCCCCCTAGTTTCTCATAAATGCTCACTTCGATTGAAAAGAAAAAAAAAAGAAAAAAAAGCACAAGGTGCACTGAAAAAAAAAGTCTCTTGGATCTAGAGTTCATACTCTTAAAATTTTGAAGCATCCGATTGAATCAAGAGCATGGGGCATGTCTCTTGTCATATTTATCAAGAGTAGCTGTACTCTGGGTCCGAGAGACTTCGTTTTCAGTGTGAAATGGCCGGTCTTTCGATCTGAAAAAGGAGTCAAATACTGGCGTAGTAAAAGTAGCGTGGATCTAAAGTCTGCGCAGACTCTTAAAAACATTGACAAGATGAAATACTCTTGATTGAGAGAGGCTTGGCTCTCAATTCAAGCATAAATCCGATTGAATGAAGAGTATTTACCCTTATCAATGTTTTTAAGAGTCTGCGCGGACTTCAGATCCAAGCTACTTTTTCTCCAGTGCAATTCTG